CTTAATCGAATGCACCAGTAAATCGACTGTTGTCTGCTGAAGTGTTTGGCAATCTTCAGCACCGGTTGATGATGGGACAGGCTGCAATGCACTCACCTAGAACTATGATCTTTGCCTATGTGCCAATACTGGCAGACGCGACAGCACACAGGCATTCGATACTGGTAGGCCCCGCGCCACCGCACCTGATTTCAGGTTCGTCTTGCCACATTCAAATCACGTCTTTAAGAACCTTACTCACCGGATTCTTTTCAGCTACCCGGCAAGATGCTCGACGTTCTATTGGCACGCGACTTGATCGGAGTTCAAGTTCAAGTCGTGTGGAGGATATGCAGTGCTTGGGCAGTGCAATTTTGATGAGGGCACACAAGTAAGGAATCCAATCGACGATCCATGAATGTCAAGAATTGAAGCGAGCACGAAGATTGTCATGAGGGTTGTTATTAAACAGCTGAAGACGTCTGCACAGCACCGATGCCTTCTTTGCGGAGCTTGGGACCACCTCGACGGTGGGTCTCATAGTCATTCGTTCCGATGCCGCAGGCTGATAGCTCAATCGATTAGTCAGTATATATTTCTTCCGGATCCTAACCACTAAAAGTCGAAGATGCAAATGACAGTTTCGGATTTCGGCCCAGAACCTGCGCAGGCGACGGAGCGCACTATTGGTATATAGAACTCTATAGATTCAAATCTTATTTGCAGATTTCAAATTGTACGTGCATCATGAAACTCCGGAGCGATATTAACTGAAAAATTTACCTCGGTACCTGCCGCTCTCGGTCTATGTGTGAGCTTGGGCTGGCCAACATATGAACGATTCTGCATTCTTCGCTGGTCACCCACACGACAGGAATCAATGGCACTGATAGCATGAGCTATTATTTGCTCGCAAGTGTGATGGGCCCTGCCTTCCCAATATGGCTGAGATACGCCGTCCTTCAACGAACATCTGGGATGGTTTCTATGGAGAACACCTTGAGCAAAGGGTGTGTTGATGCCTGGTAAGCTAATACCAAGCAGGGGTACCCCGACTGGCTTTTCTGACGCATTTTGTAGGTTCTTTAGACAACAGAAAGCTTAATTGGTACCTTCTTATTGATGTTTGGAGCTGGAGGCAGTGTTCTCATCACTTCCGATTGCCTCCTCTCCCTCATATCTCCAAGGTAATGTCATAATCATGAATTATGGACTTTTTGCTCATTGATATCTAGACCCCGCTTTCCAACAGCGGAAGAAGTGATAGACATGCTTTATGTGTCGCGTATGTTGTTTCCTCTATCTATTTGTTGTGGGTTCTAGGTCACCGTCATGATGGAGTTATTGTGGATTACGCCCTTCCCCTTCGTATTTTGTTTCACCATATTCCATGGCGACGCGATGTGCTGACCAGAACCTCCGTCAGAACCTCTTTCCCCACTCTGAGTCCAAGATGCCCGAGGACTTTCCGAGTTTGACTGCAGAGCTCTTCACTTAGCGCAGGCAGTATATTGGTCAGAATACTCAAGACAGAGCAACGAGCTTCACCGGCAAGAGTTTCCCCGCTGCACGATAGACTAGGCAAGTCTCTGCGCATGAGAAAGAGAACTTAGCATCAAGGTTTGGCAGCCTGCAGCCTGTGTTTGGTATACCTTACGGCATACCCTTCGAAGACCTTGTAAGTACCTTATCCCTACTTGGCTATACCATTGCCCTGAGATAGAAAAGTGAATGAGAAGGAAGCGTTAATATCAAAAAGCGTGTGTAATCCCGTCACTGTCAGTACCGGAAACGGCCAGGGCTTGCTACTCCCTGATCTTAACCTGATCCTTGCACAAGTATCACAGCCATCAACGTATGCATAAGACCATTGCGGGATTGACTGATTACATTTCCTAGGTTTCGGACACGAAACAGACGTATTAGTCTCAAACGTGTGTAGACCCTCAATCTCTAGCTTCTCCGAGGATGACCCTGCGCATGGAACAGAAGACAGAGTTGACCAATATCAATAGGAGAACGTTGGTGAATCTATCGCAAATACTTTCCAGGAACAACGAGATCTGCCGTTTTTTGGAGGCCCCCGACTCGCGATATGCATCCAAATGCGGGAGTACTGCACTGTACAGATGGGGATGAGCTGCGCGAAACTGTCTTTCCTCGTACATGATACTGGCACCATGCTTACCAATCGGAGGTCCTATTCTTGATGAGTCTTGCAATTCATGTGGGTGAAGTATTATTGCTGATACGGCGTGCCGTGTGTCCAACTTGAGGCAGGCTCGACACGCCTGATCCTTTAGCAAGTCCTCAGGAAGTGTCATGACAACACGTATATTCAATACGAGTAACTATGCGAAATTGCTACCCGCTTGACGAATTGAGGTGGGCTCGTATACTGTGCATATGTCGCCTCCCAATGATATCCATGATCACATGGGACCTTGCCAGGGCATCATTGTCGGGCCGTAGGATACATTTAACGACCCAACTTGGGTTCTTGAGTCCCAGCGGACACCGCCCTTGAGCATAGGACTCTGAAGCCCATCAGGTTATAGCCTTACACCTCGGCAGTTTTTTTTGCGGAACATGCACGGCGACTACTACTCCAAACACCCAAGTCAAACGACAGATTTCCCAATCGGATTTGAGCCGCAAGGAATGAATCTCTGATCAATATTAACTACCAGTCGTTTCCAGAAAGTCCTCTGAAGTGTCACAATAATAATGGATGTTTGACGATGACAATACGGTATTTAGATGTGGGCATGCAAATAATAATAGGCAATAGAGTCGAGATGTGACTCACCAGAACGTGGGTGCTGGCCTCTCTTCATGCTCAGCACCTTCGCGGAGTTGTAAATGTAAGTGCTTCCACGTTCTTCCATCAGAAGTTCGAGGCAAGGCTGTAATTTCCTTCTGGTACGTTCACAGAATACGGGTCTACGAGTTGTTGGAGATATCTCACAAGGAACGATAGCATTCAAGCTCCATCTTTACCTCGCTCGGTACCACGGAGGCCAGGAGACTCCGTTGAGTCACTCACGCTGCGCACGCATCCCGGCCAAGTCCGTGCTGACATGGGACTTCATCCAAGGGAAACCATCATGATCATGTCCTACATCCACAAACCTTCGTAGGAATGCTGAGCCTTGGGGGCAAATTTCGAGGTCACTTCCTCTGTCCACACGTGCTCGTTGCTCAATATTTCCGCACCGTCGTCGCATCTCATCGCGTTTCATTTCGCGTACGCTAGTTAATTCACTGCATTGGTGAGAAATCACCAACGTGGCGCCATATTCCAAAACTTCTTGGGGGTCGATTGCTATAACGTGCGGTCCCTATTCTTACAGAAGTGTGCTCACCCAAAAATGAACGCCGGCTGTGGCTGTAGTCTGCAGGGCTGTACTTCCCTTTACATTTTATAGTTTCAACCGATGACCCATCGATATCGATGTGAATGTTGTCAGCGAATGGGAAGACTCATCAAGCTACATACGAGCGTTACCGGGAAAATCCACTGTGGAGCTTCGTCAATGAGGAGCATGCTTTCTTGGGCACAGGTAATTTGATGAACCCCTGTCTTTCAATGATTATGAACTTCTTCTGATTGTCATGGACTTGTGATATCGACTTCGCTATCATATAAAGGCGTATGGCCACGCTGGCGCAGTTCCTCCGCTGATCGGGACGATCGTCGAGATGTGTACTATTTCAAATGCTATGGGACTAATCTTGGTACACAGACCGTCCATGAGGAAAAAATCCTGTTTCCATACAGGTACAGGGCGGACGGGGGGCCGGTTTATTGCACCTGCTGTTATCCCTGCCTCATCCATGACGACTCCTGCGACTTGTGCTCAAACTACGCCTCCCACAAACTTTGTCCAGCTGTGCTTCCAGTGGGTTCTGCCTTCGAGCGGACTTACTCCTCCGCAGCACCGATACAAGTCATGCGTGAAAACTCTTTACCCTCTACCGCGCTGGGAAATATCGGAACGGTCGTGGGTGGAAGCATGTGAGAGAGAAGTACTCTTTGGGTCTGTATTTCCTAATCATTGTAAAGCTATGTGCACATACTAATGGGCTCTGCTGTATGGATCCTGCTCTGAATGATTAATGATGCAATCAGATTGGGAAGTCATTGTTGGATGCTTGCGGCTATCATCATTCTAACTCCTGATAAGATGCCACAGCCTGTGCGGATATAATTTTGCTCTCACAGACCCAGGTGGACAGTTTGGGAAGTAAAGAAGGGGCTGATGTGTGTCAACTGAAGCCGTGCAGCTGCGGAAAAGAAGGTGCACCTAGTGGATTATGTCACCTCCAGTGCTACATCCACAGGATCGCTAAGAATTTATGCCTTGCCAGGCACCAGCTTAGCTCGATGTCCTACTCTCAGAAAGCTGTGGATGAACTTGGGAAGTTCGTACATGGCAATTGTCTTGGCTGGGATCTGCCTCGCTGTAAACACGTTTCCTGATGGCCAAACCCGATGAAAGCGTAATAATTTCCCGATAATCCGCAAATTTCTTACTGGACGGATCGGAAATAAGTCGCTTGCAGAAGTCTAATCATGGCGAGCAAATCTCTCGCAACCCAGCTGGGATAGCGCTGGGATCCCAGCCCCTACTGGCTAGTGCTCGTCGCTTCTCGTAACTGGCACGGGATCTGATGATTCAGTCAGGTTCGCAGCCTTATTATATAAAACCAGCGGCACTTGATCATCTTTTTCTTTCTTTCGCCTCGGTGTTCATTAATTCCAACTTCTCCTCTGCGCAGGGTTATCTGGTTGATGACACTTTGGTGGTGACGACCCCCTCATGACAGAGTATACAGCTTCACCAGAGGCTGTCCAGGTCTTTAGAAACTCCCGGGAACGTACTGAGCACTGGGTCCGTTCTCACTCGCCATTCCATTCCCAGTTCTATTCCCCAGAAAGTCCCCCTTCCGTCGTCAGTGATATAGATATCGACGAGTCTAGCTCAGACAACGGCAGCTCGCATTCCTTGCCTCCGAAGATGATGTTGAAGTATGGGGACGGACGCGACGTTCCTATCTCACACTGGCACTATGACAATGGCGGCTCTCACAAAGGAAGCAGTCATAGTTCCAGTTCACATCCTCATCCCCATCCTCAACACAGCCATCACCACCGTCCCCATGACCGCTCGAGGTCTGCTGCTGATGCGTATCCTGTACGGGGTCCTCGCCACCCCGAGCATACAGGGTATCGTTACTCCTCAGCACGAAATGCACATCGTGCAGACCCTGAAGATTTAGAACCTGAAGAAATCCAAATCCTTCCCTCTGACCCACACGCCACTCCCTATGACTCGCGAAACGAAAAATATCGGCCACGTAGAGCTTCAGAACCATACCGGCCCGAACCCTTGCAATCCCCGCCCCACAAAAACGCTGTAGAAATCCCGGCCACACCCTTGCCACGACACGTTCCCAGCCATCACGGTAGTGCAGCCCCGCCAGTCACTTATTCGCATTCACAGCCCATTCCTCGACAATACGAGCAGCATCACCCCGCACACTCGCATTCGCGACATCGGCCTCCGCCTTCGATCGTATATGCACCCGGACCTCACCACGCTACCGATCATTATGCTCCACCGACTATTGTGTATGCCCCAACTAAGGCACCAGGCATGACGTACACGGTGTCTGCGCCCACGGGTTCAGGGTTTCCGCAATACCCGCGTATTACTCCTGCCCCATACCCCGCTGCTCATAGTCATCTCGCGTCTATTCATGAAGAAGCACGGTATGGGATGAGAGGGCCCCTTTCGAGGGATGATCGGTCGAGAGCGCCTTCTCCGATAGGCGAGGGTGATAGCTGCGAGTCGGGCAGCACGTACTATGTTATACCCACTCCTGGCCAGAAGGTGAAGGTTTTGGTAAGTCACCAGCAAAGTGCTTATCTCTCGTTGTTGTAACTGTGGTTCGTTTTGGCTGACTGTGATTGTTTCAGCCCGGCCCCGTGCCTTCCCTCTACACGGCCACGTCGACCACTAAATCGCCATCGTCTCCTCAATCTGGCAGCATGGGATTCAAGAGACCGTTTTTCAGCAGGCTTTTTAGCTTTGCGTCTGATATAACAAAAGTATCCAAAGCCCCGAAATTTTCCTCAAAGGCCAAGCTACAACGACGCCATTCTTTAGAGTCCACGGGTGTTCATATACGACACCGGTCGTGACATTTACGTATGTTCTGGGATAATGATTTTGAAAGGTTTTTTTTCTTTTTCATTGGCTTGCTCTACTGCTTTACGTTTGTCTTTGTTGGATAGACTCTATGCATTCATATGTACGCATATGCATCGCCCCTCGCATTGTACGATACTGACAGCACTGTAGCGCTAATTTTCCACTCATTTTCGTTTTTTTTTCTGTCGGCGTTTATGATCGTACCGTAACCTCATTTCTGATAGTCCGATGTTCATGTAACTTCTGCATTCTGTAGCAGGGTCGTCGCAATAATGACAGCTTGTGACATTTTGAATCAGACATCAACGTGGTACCGCAGAGTTGTGAATACAATACACATGTCATTCATTAATACACCCACTTCCGTCTGAACGAAGCACGAAGACCCCGTTAAATGAATTGTCATCTCGCAAACTCTCTTTGACACATCACTGGGTGACCTTTCATCGCACCCACGCTCCAACTGAGTGCGGATAGACTCTATCTGGTGCTCATTTGTCTGATCTGAATCCGATCATGATCATGTGCGGGGGACATGTTGTTAAATCTCATGGTTTTATGAAGGTCTAGATGGCGTTGATGAGGCTGTCGTCGAGAAGTACTGATGACGTTCGCCCTGCGGTTTCATAGATACGAGAGATGAATGATGGACAGGTGGGTGCGGATAAGGGATGTTTCCTCGGATGTTCGGAATGTCCGCCGTAAAAAATGCAAGCCATGCAGCTTGCAGGGATGCGGATGGGATCCTTCCGTGTACGAGTGCAATGTGCGATTTGCCGCGAGTTGTGTGGGGGAGATGGAACAGTTCTATGAAATGAGCGGGCCTCGGGGTGTTTTGAGATAAGACGGGGTACTGGGGAACGAGAAGTAGGACGCCAGCTGACGTCTGTAGCATGTGTACTCGCTTGCATGGATCGACAGACTTGGATGCTTGTTCCAAGCGGGACCCATGATTCAGTGCTTGATACTCGTGCCGATCGTGCTGGTCATCGAAGCCGTTGCAATGCACCCCGTTTCATTGGTTAAAATAGTTCTTCGAAAGAGGTGGTTTGCAGAACGACCGGCAGTGCGAGACGTAGAACGCTTCGGCGAACCGCCTCGATCGAACCGTTCACGATGGCTTGGCAGTTGCTAAATATGATATAGACGATCAACGAAACGTATGTATAAACGACACTCAGGGGCTCCGAGAACTGTGATTTATGTAAAACAGTGCTATCATAGGGGTCGAATACTCGACTTCGACTCACTCGCACTATTCCTCTATATCACGAGTTTTTGACTACACGACGATGGTTGCAACTTGGACGCAGACTACGCCTTTTCGCCGCGATTTCATTATGGCGCAATGTCGGTTCCGGGTAGAGGCAATGACAGTCAATGTTGCCCTTTTGAGCACGGAAACCTAGAAAAAAGTAATTTAGATGACTTCTGTTCTGCGTACCGTATTGCTCCGAGTAGTGACTGTGCCACTCCTGGCAGCGAATCATTCCTGTGCTCGACAGTGTCGCATCTCAGCATGCTCCGTGTACTGTGCCCGAACGCAACAGGGAATCGCGAGCTGCCCGCAGCGATATCTGCACATTCTCTTCGGTCCGATCGTGAATGACAGCGCTCTCCCACGGAAGGAGTCATCACTTGACTCCATGTGTCATTATCTATCTAGTCAGCTCTAGATCTAACTCTCGTCATCACAGCAATCATGACGGTCTCGGAGGACCTCAATTTCTGTTTCCCAGTGCGGGAGTTATCGAATGAACGCATCAAGATGACTCCCTTCAAAGTAAGCCAGATAACACACACCGACACAAGCGATAACCACAGACTTGCCACAGGCATCGATCCATTCCTCTCCGCTATGTTCCATCCTATCAACTCACCCAGAGCTATGGGCACACATGCCCACCGGCCCATTCCAAACCGTCGAAGATTTCAACACCAATTTCCTCGACACCCTAGTCCACCACGACCCAGGAATGGTATCATTCGCCATCATAGATAAAACAAAACCACCCTCTGCGGCAGACGAGGAAGGCGAGCTAGCTGGCATGATGTCTTACATGAACTCTTCTTCCGTGCATCTATGCACAGAAATCGGATATATCATCATCCTTCCCCAATTTCAAAGGACGCATGTCAATTCCAATGCTGTTGGGCTTCTTTTGCGGTATGCGCTCCAAGTGCCGTCTCAGGGCGGTTTGGGGCTGCGAAGGGTTCAGTGGCAATGCAGCTCTGTGAACGCCCCTTCTATTCGTGCGGCTGAAAGACTGGGCTTCAGGAAGGAGGGAATTATGAAATGGCATCGTGTGTTTCCTGGAGGCAAGGACAATGCCAAGGTACATAATGGTCGTGAGATGCCTCGGGGTAGTCTTGACGAAGAAGACTATGCAAGGGATACCGTTGTTCTCGCTCATTGTTGGGATGATTGGGAGCAAGGTGGGAGAGAGAACATACAAGCAATAATGAACAGACAGCATTAAGTTGCGTTGCGCCATCTTTCACGCGGGCTCATGAATTTGTCTAGTGATACCCTCATAACTTGCCTGGCACCGCGGACGATAGACCCGAGGGTCACATTGTACCCCTGTCCTTGGCAGGTGAAAAATCACAACAAAACTTTTCTAATTCCAATTCGTGCCCACTGCGGTGCACTGGGCACCTTCTCTAATATATGGTAAAGGTCTTGACAGTTTGATTAGTCTTGTGTCTGTAATGGTTTCTGATAACGATCAGAGTCTCTGACGAGAAAGAGTAGCGACGCAGCCGCCATCACGATCGCCTACGATAAACACGTTAAAACAGATATACATCGCGCACAAGTTGACCTGCAAATAAAGCTTACCGCGTGGATATAGAACACCAACATCGGTTGACTCGAGATCGTGCTGCATTAAGTAAGGAAATAAGGAGACAGTGTGGGATTAAAAACCAATCGACTCACGCAGTAAAAATGCTGCCCATGACAAGAGGAGAGAGGAAGGCTCCAATGCTTGACATCATTTCGATAGCAGCCAGTACCTCTCCTATCCAACGCAATCTGCGAGTTATCAACCGCATGTTTGCAGCTTCAAAATACGTACCTTGTTTCAAGGGGTCCACCGATGATACTGCGAGACTTCGAGTGATGGGAATATGTGCTGCGCTGAAACCGACAGCGCTCACGGCTTCACAAAGCATCAATACACGCATTGCTGCCTTTGAGACCTCGCACCTATGAGATGTGAAACACGAGTCGTCGTTGCAGACGCTATTATATAGGAAATAGCATTTATGACCCAGGAGACGAAGATGATGTGGACATCGAGAAGGTCTGTCGACGTAGACACAGCAGCGTCATCGCTAGGCTCCTGTTGATCTTCGGGAAGAACAACCTTCCTGGCGTAAATCGGACGCAATACGCGAATCAGCGAGGGTATCGTGTATGTAAGACAGAATACAGCGCTCAAGCTCAGTGTTGTCAACATAATTCCGGTCTAAGTTGTGCATGAGTGTAGAGCTCCAGTGATTGATGTTCGGCCTACCTGAGCAGAGTTGTACTTGTATTTCGTTGTGTACAACAACGTAAGGGCCACCGGCGTATACGAGTCCGCAAGCATGGCGATGATAATATGAATTGCACAATACACTACTCGCCAGTTCCGTCTGCCATCTTCCTTGCGGGCAGGAACGAGCTGTTTCAGGGGTTCGAAAGCAATGGCTACCATAGATATGAGGCGGCTCGATAAATTTCGACGCGCGCTTCCTTCTACATTCTGCTGAGCAAGGCGCTGGCGACGTAGTTCATCCCGTTTCTCTTTTGGTAATGATTCGGGGAGTAAAGCTAAGACATAGACGAATATTGCCCCGAGAACGGAAATAGAGATGTAGTATACGATTAGCGGGTTATTAGTCTTGGTGGTGACAAGACCACCAATAGCAAAGGAGACTGATTGTCCTTCACACGTAGATTAACGGGGATTGTGTAGATGCAAAGGACTATGCTTACCTAGGATAGCCCATCCATTGATGGCACTCAAAACGGGTGTTCTTGAGGATCCGGTCAGTCCAAAGAGGATTAATTACTACAATTATACATTACCTGTCCTCAGCACTGGAGATATCAACGGTGTAGATGTTTACCATGAACATCATAATCAGGGGATTACCGAATGCTTGCAATAATAGAGAGGCGGCCAAAACAGTTGCTCCTGGCCATCCAGACAAGTACTGGGAGCAGACCATAAGAAAATAGGCCAAAAAGCTAACGGCAACTGCGCCAAGGATGACTGGTTTTCTTCCAAGTCTAGAGCTAATATAGCTGATCACACTGCATGCGATCATAGCTGTTGAGCATTAGATTGGGCAGAAAATGTAGCAGCGTCCGCACCCGCAAGCCCATCGCCAATTAAAACGGCTGAAATGACGGCGGAGTATGTTTTCTCCACCTCTGGAACTGCGCATAGTTCCTTGGATATCTCCCCGCCTGGTGGGAAGTTGTCATTTGCTGTGAGCCACAACCGACAGATGACTGATTGGATAACCTCCAATAATGTAGTTGCAGGAGCGTCGAAGTAAGTCGTGTCGCGACAGCTAGCGGGATTAGGAGCGTCAACGGGGAGAATTGGCGTTCACTGCTTATTGCGTCCTGCCGCTCTGGAAGGAGCGGAGCACGCTCAGAGGGCAACTTTGTCGGCGACACGTCTTGAATGCTTGCCATGGAAGTTTAGATCAACCTATTTCGATATCTTCGACTTGAATAAGTGCCAGTACTTACCACGTGGAACTAAGTATACTTAGGTTTGCAACGCATCGGTGTGCGTGTGTCCCCGACAGCCACAGAACCAAACAAAACCAAGTGCGGTTTCTCCGATGATAAACCGAATTTTATAAGGAGTCTGGGTGATACCTACCTGCCGCAAATCCGATCGAGAGCCCAGCGGGGGCCCTTGCGGGAGATTCCCCCTCCCCCCTTGCCAGCAGTCGAAATTTCCTAATTTCATGTCCGATCCGGAGCTTCTTGCTACTCAGGACGCCACTATCATGACAAGGAACTTGGGCTCACTCAGCCATGGTCATGGTCATGGCATTTCGGACCAAGTTGGTTGCTGAAAAAGGCAAGGAAGTGTTGCGAGTAGAAATCACATGCCATTTATCGATTTGGCTCGGTGTCGCTGTGGCTGCGTTGTAGATGATTTGGTCGACAGAACCCATCGAGGGAGTCGCAACTGAAAATCGTTGAACGAATAAATTAATAACTATGCAGTTACGTACGTACACTAGTCGTTCACGAGACTATACGTACACATCATGGAACCCGGTTTCTCAGTACTCAGAATCTATTGCATGTTCGAAACCTTTTTCCTTTCACCACACCTTGAACGTATTAAATTCACAAGCTCAGTGACTAGAGTGGCATACTACGCGCTCTTAATTTCTCGACGCCATCGTCACAGACATCCGTCGTTCCTCATTTCTCACTATGTCATTATACTGTCTTCTGTCTGGCAACTACGCTGAACTTTCAGGACGCTCACGAATATCAGTATGGGATATGTCGGGCTCGTTAGACGTCTAGGTGTGAACCTGGAAGAGTTAGACCGTGACGAGTATTGTATTTCTGAAGGGAAGGACGTGGTACGACTCGACGATCTCATCTCTTAGTATCTTTCACAATTCACCTGTTCTCCGTTTACAGGTTATCTACAGGAGGGCCACGGCCTTTGTAGGGCGAATCTGACGACTACTACAAGCAGGGAAAGACGAAAAGAGTCCAACAACAAACCTATATTTTCCTCTGCACCACCTCGCACGGACAAGCCTGTTTTCTCACAGATTCCGCGCGTCAGATCTTGCCTCAGGCTGTAAGTCGTCATTTTGCACATTCATTCGAGGTCTCGCGACGGCACCGCTATGGCCCTCAGTGCTCGCACGCACCACACATGTCGCACGTCCATCCGTATTACAGCGGGGCAACCAGAATGCTCGCTATGTGGGATTTCGAGATAAAGAGGCAGCAAGGCGTACCTGCGTCTGGAGTGACTTTCCATGGGGAACCGTAAAGGGCAAGATAGTGGTGTGGAGTTTCTTGTATGTGTGCATATCCTATTTTGCGAAATGTCTGAAAAACCGAATGCTCATGATTTGTCCACATGGAACGATGAGATAGATTCACTCTGGCATGTCCGAGTCCATCTGAAATTTCGGTAAGTCATGTGCTACATATTAATTCTCATTTTATTTCTGCCATTTTATTTTGTGGCTTGTAATATAAATCTTGCAAATGATTGCATGGGAAATAAAATGATGTAGAATCCTCAGTTTATTCTTCCAGTTGATTTGACGCGGGCATCGCTGAGCTTGTAATGTGCCGAGAGGCTTGAAGCTTGAAGTACCAGACCATTTTGTAAGTTGGTTAGTCTCACTGGCAGCGTGAATGAATGTATATAATGGGCGTGACAATACTTCTGGTGATGGTTCGTAAATTGCAGAGATAAAATGACAGAATAAAATAAGAATTGAGTGGGCTTAATAGTGGTCTAGAGCAAGTCAAAAGCGAGCAAAACAGCGTACGTGACAATGAAGATCGTCTGTGAGTGAAGACTAAGACGGAAGTAAGGTTTCGGAGTATCTTTCCCTAGAATCCAAACAAGACCGATTGCGAAGCAGGAACTTGCCACAATAAACGGATTATGGCGGAAGGCCGTCAAAACGGCTGCGTGAACGACGGTCAAGAGCATCCGAGTCTTGAGAGGAGAATCTAGCAGGACCGGTATGGTCGGGACTCCGGCCTGCTTGTCCTCCTCGTAGTCGCGCACGTCCGACATAATCTTTGGAACACCTTGAGTCGCGAGTACATTTACAATAACAAATTTGTCTTACACAATGACCAGTGCGATTGACCATCGACCAAACGACAGTCTCAGCGATCGTCCATGGAAGTGCGTTATGGGTCGATTCCCACGGTGACTGCAGTGCCGAGTGGACGACTGAGAACACCCCACAGCTGTCTTCAAGTCAAAAACCATAAACCGTCAGGATGCGACAGCACATACCTTCGAATGGTACCGCTGAAAAAAGCCTTCATGCCAGGAACCCGTTTGATGATGAACGGTCTGCGAGCTTTGTCTACTTGACCATAATTTGCCCATACGAGTCTCTCCAATATTGTGCCGATCCGCGAAAGATCAAGCGGGGTCGTCCACAGAAAAGCTGGGGCAGTAAAAACTGCGGTGAAGAACGTCGCTTTCGGTGGACTGAGACTTAAAGCTGCCACGAGCAGCGACGCATTCAACGCCAAAAAAATATGCGCAAGGGGGGTAAAACGCTTTATGACAGCCGCGCCTTGAGAACCAATGTCAACTTCTTGATCCTTCAGGTGGTCAGCCGCGATGACAAGGACATCAGATGTTGCACATATGACGATCTTTTGTGCGACGCGATCAGAAAGGTTCTAAAATCCACAAACAAAGGGCTTACCGGCCTCCAGTCAAGCATTCCAGCGATCTCATAGGATAGGAGGGATGAAAGCACAGCGCTGCTGATCGCCACGATGAGGGGCTGCAGGATTACAGAGCTAACGAAGGATGAAGCTGTGGTGGTAGCCATTCTCGTTGAAGCTAAGTTCTCTGAGTGGGCAAGCTCGATGAAAGGATGTACGATGGAGCTGAGGCTTTGCAGCGTAGTAGGCAGTCTTTTATCATTTCCAAGAGCTTCCGAGTAGGCTCCGATAACATACCTCCTTTACAGTAGACGGAGATCAAGATCTCCAGTACCACTCGGCAATGATCGATCACCTGACCGTCGCGCCAGTCTGCTAAGCTAATGTGGCTAATCACATTGCATGCGATCATAGCTGTTGAACATTAGATTGGGCAAAAAAATTAACAGCGTCCGCACCCGCAAGCCCATCACCAATTGGAACGGCTGATCTGACGGTGGAGTATTGTTTCTCCACTTCTAGAACTGCGTATAGATCCTTAGATGTCTCCCCGCCTGGTAAGAAGTTGCCATTTGATGTGAGCCGACAGATGGCTGATTGGATAATCTCCAATAATGCCGTTGCAGGAAGCGTCGAAGTAAGTCGTGTTGCGACAGCTAGCGGGATTAGAAGCATTAATGAGGGAAATTGGCGTTCACTCCTCAATGCGTCCTGCCGCTCTGGAAGGAGGGGAGCGCGCTCAGAGGATGGCTTTGTCGGCGATACGTCTTGGATGCTTGCCATGGAAGTTCAGAACAACCTGTTTCGATATCTCTTACCATGTGGAACTGAGTGTAGGTTGGCAACGGTTTGCATGTGCCCCAGGCGACAACTAGACCAAGTGCCGTTTATCCGACAATAAATCGAAACTTTATAGGGAGCCGTTGATCAGTGATTCCTACCTTATAGGACGGTCAAGCCATAAATCCGATCGAGAGCATGTTGAGGGCCCTTGCGGGAGATTTTACCCTTGCCAGTAGTCGAAGTTTCCTAGTGGTGTTTTCAAAATCACATGTCCGACCCTGCTACTCAGGACATCATGACAAGGAAGTGTTGACTTTGGGTAATAATAGAAGAAATCAGCATGCCATCATGGTTTACCGATTTAACTCGATGCCACCATAGCTGCGTTTTGGATGATTTGGTCGACAGACTCATCGAGAGTCGCAACTGAAAGTGGTTGAACGAAGAACTAACTATGCAGTTACGTAAGTACACATGGAACTAGGATTCCCAAAAAAGTCAGTTGCAAGTTGCAGAAGTACATCGACTAAAGTACGCGAGGTATAAATTATACCATCCACAAGTAATAAGATATCCCCGTATTGTCGACTGCAATAATAATACTCTGGGTCTAGTTCAATGTCACTTCACTCGTCGGGGAGCTGTAATACGCTGTTTGCACGAGAAAGTGTCTGCCTTGGAAACAGCGTCAAGTTCATATACGACGAATTTCGCGAACGTGGGTTGATGGAAGGAATCGAAGACCTACTGCTTGTCATTATCGTGTCGTCAGGAGCGGTAGTAGTCGTAGGTGACGAGGCGCGAGAGTGAGAATGCGACGTAGAAGTAGATGTGCTGAACCCGTCGGAAGCATTGTGATAGGGAGGAGGTGAGAGTGTCGAGGTTTGAGAGTGCCGAAGCAATGGAGGTTGAAGTGAGGTAGAGATGGGAGGTAAATGCGGACGACGTGATGATGATGTCGATGCGGACACAAGGCGGCGCAGGGGTCGCAACAGGGACGGGGGTAGAAAAGAGGAATTTGAAGGCGACGGTGGACGTGCTATCGTTACTCCTTCCTCCATCGCGTAGGCTCCATGCAAGTCACGTTTAAATGAGCTGCGTAAGAAACGCCTCCGAACAACGCGTAATGGATGTCGTAGGCGAAAGATTATGTAGCCCACCACGATGAGGATAATGGCATAGAAGAGTATAGTAATGGGTGGAAATCCCAAAGACTCGCGGGTCAAAGATGTCGGCAGATGTGGAGAGACATGCTCTTCCAACAACCCGTCGAGATCCCAGAACGGTCGAATGGGTTTGATAGGAGGATTGGGTGTACTAGCAGGAATATCGTCTATAGGATCAGCCAGCGGCCTACTACTGCTTGAAGACGGTTTGATTTCCTTGCTTGCTTCTAACACCATTTTACCCAGTGTCCAGCTAATGGCGATGTCTCCGACAGAATCGACAGATTGAAACATAGGTCTTCCCAAACCTTTCGCTTCAGCTTGTTGTGCCACTTGTTCTCCAATCGTGGTGGAGTTTCCTTCCGGGTCTACTATCCGAGGAATCCCAATTCCTTCATGTAGCACATTGGCTATCCAAGCGGCCTTGAAACACTGCATCTGCAACCTCGGAAGCTCCACATTCTTGCCCCACTTCCCGACCTCCATGACCTCTCCGTTTTCCATGACCTCCCCATCGCCGCCTCGTATGCCCTGCGCTCTCGACAGCTCGTGTTGTTTGATTATACCACTCCAATCCATGCCGCAGAACTGCGTCGCAGCGCGCTCGTACTGCACATAATCATACGGGCCGCCTAGCCCGAAGACATGTTCAGATGAATACCAGTATTCGGAAACACCAATAAAATGGGAGGAAGTAAAGTTGATGGCAGGAACGTGCACACCGTCGAAAAGGCATGGAGCAGTATTGCATGGCGCATTTTTGTTGAGAAGGGAAGCAGTACGATCCAGACACTGGGTGAAAGAGCCCGTCCCAGCAAGTAGATGTGTTGAATGCGACCCATCAATCTGAGGCAATGTCTCGGAAAGTATCAAATCTTTTGGGAGGCACGGGTCAGGTATAGATGACAACTCTGACGTCTCGAGCGAAGTCTCTTTGAAAGACTCGATGGTCTTCGCAACATATCGCTCTCGTGCCTGGTTGGTACCATAGCCTAACCACGTAGTGACAAATACCGAGTGGTTGACTTCGTCTCCGCCAAGTAGTCGTAACCGGACATCAACCAGGTTCTCCTTGTCTCCCGAAAGCGTGTCAGATGGCTCGAAGGCTATCTGGGTCGAAGCGCCTCCCATGTCCAGAAAACCATAAGTCGTCTTCTTGTCTTTTCCATAAAACCCATCCATGAGATAGTTCACTGCTATCCATCCATACAAGCCTTCCTCCTCGCCAGTGATAATTCGTACACTGGACCCACACGGACCGTCCTTCGATTCGTCTTCTATCCGGAAGCTCGAGGCGCTTTTGAGATACCTACATGTGGCACTAAGCACGCGCGCCTGTTGCATCGGTGTCAACAGGCGCATACCAGCGGTAGCGAGAAGGAAAAGAGGAGTTTCTGACTCGAGGGAAGGAGGTATCTGAGAGCGCGCATGTTTAAGTAGAGGCGCAAGGTATTCATGGACACCCTCCGGGTTGTCTGCGAATGTAGAAAGACCTACATGACAGAACCAGTTGAGTTGTGACGAGCAGAATATCAGACGTGTACACACCTGGTTCAGCCTTCATTATCCAATCATCTCCCTCCTGGACGCCCTTCTCTACCTTGGGCAATTTATCCCGTACATCATCTCCCTGCTCGCTAAGCACAAAATCGGGATCTTCCCAGCTATATATCTGAAGTCTTGAACCCGACGAGCCAGCGTCAATAACTATTCCAAAACGGCGCGCAGTAAGCCAAGAATTAGAGAATATCGTGGGTGGCATAGACCAAGGCCCAGCGGTAAAGCAATCGATGCTCCACTTTACAAGGACGTACACACAGTAGGAACTTGGAAGGGTGTATGTAAATGACGAGGTAGAATTTCACAGCCGCGGCCAGCCACCGCGCGGAACCCAGCTTCCCGAAGTTATCCTTTCACGACCGTTCACGATCAATCTGGCTAATTGGATAGGCAACGAACTCGTGGCAGTAATACACTACTTTCAGTGCCGAATGATCGCGTGCGAGTGACCTGCCATGAATTTCTGGCAGTTCTTTCATCGACTTGGACTATCATAATTTTCGCCGCTCGGCTTCACTGGATGGTGTATCGTACTACCTACGCTATATCAAGTGCATCGGTCACTATACCTTTCCAGGGAGTCCTAAAGTATCATATAATGGACTGATATATGTACTAGTTTATCAATGATCATACGCACACCAACCTGAAAAAAGCAGAAAAGTCACAGTGTCCTTGAATCGAAAAAACAGCTCCCGTATTAACACAGAATACTATGTCGAAACTACATCCATACGTTCCAAACGAACTTAAGCAAGATGCTCCTTAGAAGTTCCTCATCGCGATACAGTAGTCTTGCGAGGCCGCGAACGCGTCCCACCCCTAGCCTCGCCTCCTTTATTCTTCGCTTTGTCTTTAGCTTTCAGATCCACGCTCCACAACCGCGCCTGCGCCTCCCTCAGGCGGAGGAGGTCAAATACCCAGTCTGTCTCCTGCGCCTTTGCTGAACCGAGCTCATGCAGCCTTTCTTCCTCTGAGTGTGAGAGAAGAGCAGCTGTAGTGCGCTCACCCGACCGCCACAGGAGTAGCTGCTGGATTGCCTCAGGGAGAAGAATGTTTACGCAGTACTGTGGGTGAACAATGTTTTAATCAGTGACAGATGGTTATCACAGAACATAAGACGCACATCAAGCTTATCGAGGGTCGATAGTGATTCATATTCATGCGAACCAACTGGCTGCTGTTGGTTCTGTGCAGGCACAGGGTCAATCTGTAGAAATGATGAATGATCCCGGGCGGTGTTTTGCGATATAGCTAGCCTACCTCCCCAGTATGCGGCAAGTCAGAGTGACCGCTAGAACCCGGCTGCAATCAAAGGTGAACATCTGGTTTGGGGAACTCAGGAGACTGCGATAGATCCTACCTGCTCTGCAATGATCTCCTTTGACGCAGAAGGCAGATCAATCATCTTCGGCTCTGAGGAATCGTCAGCCTATGCAAAAACATCAACACAAAAAATGCAAAGGTAAAATATAAAGAGCCGACCTCGCTAGGCTTGCCAACTGTTGTGGCATCGTCATCAATCTTATTGCTAGTATCGCTGTGAGGTATGGGCTGAGGCAGTATGTCGTGACTCGCACTGTCAGAAGTTGCGGGTATATTATCTGGCGACTTGTCAAGTAACATTGCATTGGGGTCGTCGACCCGATTGCTATTGTCACTGGGAGGTATTGGCTGAGGAATGTCAGGGTGGACTACGATGTCGGGGGATGCAGATGTTTCGTCTGTTGTTCCAGTCTCAGGCTTGTTAATTGCCATTGCCTCAGTGTCGTTGACCTGATTGCCAACGTCACTGGGAGGTATTGGCTGAGGAATGTCAGGGTGGACCACGGTGTCGGAGGATGCAGATGTCTCGTCTGTTGCTCCAGTCTCAGGCTTGTTCACTGCCATTGCCTCAGTGTCGTTTACTTGATTGCCAACGTCACTGGGAGGTAAAGGTTGAGAAATGTTGCAGTCTACCCTATCGGAAGTTGCAGCTATCTCGCTTTTGACCCCAGCGTCTGCCAACCCATCGCCATTGGTGGCTAAAGTATTTAGGCAGGGTGTGCTATCTTGCTCCGGGGGTGGCACCACCGCTGCTTCAGGTTTGAATTCTACATTGGTTCTACGGGCATACTCTTCTCCAAGTGCCCACCGTGCAATCAGTTTTTGCGACTGCTTGACCTCGTTCGGGTCCAGACCCCCTCTCACTGCCGCCCGCTTCATTAAACTGGATCTAGCCGCACCTCCCCGCATGAAAGCCTCATGGCTCCTGCCTGCTGGGGTGTACTTCCCTTGAAGGATAGCGTTCAGTACAGGCTTCACGTATGTCAGTTGCGCATGTATCGACAACTCCGCGAAAGCATCTGCGCTAGGAGGCGGATCGGTCAACTTTGGACTAGGACTCCGCTTCCTGTCTTCCGGTTCATCTTCCGAGTCCGGGGCCTCGGTGTCCTGGACGGCGCTTTCGAACTCGCCCAAGTCACACATAACAAAGCCCTCTTCCTCAGAGGTCCAGAATTTATCCCGAGTGAGGTTGTACTCTTGTTCATCTAGAAACTTGGCCCGATAGCGTTCCTTCCCGCCTGGCTTGGTTGGTGGAATGTATGCTATAAGCTGAGCGGGCCAGTATTTGTTACTTCTCGTCCGTAGTGCCTGCGCCAGAACAAGCTCGCCTGGTATTTGGAGCATGGGGTCCGGTGGCGGAGGAGACCAAGCGCGGTCCATAAGAGTCTCAAAATCAGCACTAGGCAGAACCTTAGCTTTCTTGGTTGAACGTAGGTCCTCTATATCGTCTTCTTCTGAAGAAAATGTCTCCCCAGCGTATGCGGAAATCATCTCAGGCATGCCATCACGCTTGAGTCCATCTGCATCCTCCATAGCTTTCACTGCTGCCTCCCATCTCTCGCACATATCTGTCTTCGTTTTCTTGCGAGGGGAAGAGTTTGAGGATCCAGTTGTGATGAGAGATGAGACTTGGAAAGTTGCTCGGGAAAAACGCTTTTCGCCAGACAGGTCATGAATAGGCCGGACGTTGAATTCGGATGGATATGAAATTGTCGAAGGTTCTCGAGATAACGCCAAGTCGCCAAAGAGGGTCACGCAGAGAGGTTGTTTTTGGACGACCTAACCATTTGCTTGTTTGAATTGAGACATTTTCAGCGTGTCAGGGAATGCTCACCCTGGCAGGCCACCACATGCGGTTTTCCAGAAGCTCGATATCATCATCATCATGCGGGACCGAGGTGATGATGACTCCCAATTCATTCACCAGTACCCAAACTAGAGTATCGACGTTGCCGAAGCCATGTCCATCACCCCGGTCAGGTAATTTTGCCTTTCCTGCCTTCCTTTTCCGTGGGGAAGTTTGGCCCCGGGGATGTGAGAAGCTGGAACTGGATACGCCAAGAGAGCGCGTGGAACCACCCCTAACCCTACTAAGCTTCTGAGGCGGTGGGGTGGAATGACTGATTATGGAACGTGGGGGAAGATCCGTGGTTGAGATAAGCGGACTTGTAGGAACGCTCGAAAATGGTGAGGGCGACAGGGTTGTGAGACTGCTTACTGTGCCTTCCCTATCCGAACCCGAATCAGAAGCCGGGGCCTTGCGTTTCTTCGATTGCGCGGATGGCTGGGAGTATGAGGGTGTTACAGGCTTGGGTTTAGCCTTGGGTTTTGGTTTGGACTGACGCTTGGGGGATGGTGACGAGTGGTCTGTCTGCTTTAGCGGCGAAGCACGGAATTTGCCCTTGGCGTTATAGCGATATTTCACATTAGGCTGCCTACGCGATGGAGGCCCCCCAAATGAGTCTGAGGGCTCGGGCTCGTCATCAGAGTGGCCTGGCGAATCGAGCTGGTTTGCGAATACAGCAGAAGCCTGCTCTGCTGCTTTACGGGTCGGGAGGATGCGCTCAGATAGCATTGAGAAAGTGCTAGTAGTTGTCAGATGGTAAGGATGTGCAGTATTTGTCTTTCGGTCCTATGGTAGATGGAGTAACCCTTAAGATTACTGTCAGGACTGCATCAGCAGACTCTGTCAGCCAGACTCTGATGCCCGAGCGCGTTCTGTCACTCCGTGTCACGTCACGCGACGATTCGGAGTTCCTCCTATCATTCGTGCACGTCGTGCATTTATCTAGCTCTACCTCTTTCCATTGTCTTCTCCTTATCAAACGTAGTTTACCGGTGACTCGACTTGTTCTTCGACGATGGCTCTCACAGGCTCCTACTCAGCATTCAACACACATGCGCACTTCAAATTTGTTGTGTATTGAAACCGGATGTCAGATGTCGGTATCATTTTCAATATAATGATGGATGGTGTGAAGATGTCAGGACCCTGGTCGGTTCAAGTTGACAGCGGTGATGTTATATTTGGTAAAAGAAGATCAATCGAGCTCTCACTTCAAGCATAATCCTGAGCGTTTAAACCACGACAGTCTGGGAAAAAAATAGAACATTCCACATAAGACTGTGCTTCTGCAAGAAGACCTGGCCAGTGTCCAAGATAAGACATTTAGGTCCAACAAAAGCGCAGACTTCTAGCGTGCCCCTCGAAGGCAAACGTAAGAATACACGGACAATCACATCGTCCGAGCCTTGTGTATCTTCACATCTTCTCTTGGTCTAAAAAGTGGTCAAGTATATCTGAAGATCCTAACGCAGGATGACTTACCGATCCTGAGCATCAACTGCAACAGCACCTAATCTCTGCACAACACGCATGCCTGAGCTCACCCGGCCGAAAATGGTATGTTTACCGTCCAGGTAGGGCGTGGGTGCCAATGAAATGAAGAACTGAGATCCTAGAAGCGGGCCATTATATTCCAAGCAGTGGATAATATAGAAAGGCGGGAATCTAACCGTTTGTGTTGGGCCCCGAGTTCGCCATTGCGAGGATTCCTGCACCTGTAAAGCGTAGTTCTGGATGTATTTCATCCTCGCTGTGCACATGTCATATGTTTACGTTCGGGATCAAGATTAACGATGGACGTACAATTTCTGACCATAAATGCTCGTTCCACCTCGACCAGTTCCAGTTGGATCACCACCTTGGATCATAAAATCCTACAAGCATGATTGGTCATGAATATAGATACGTTTTCCGTAGAGAAAAAGCTTGACTGACGGCGATAATTCGATGAAACACAATACCGTTGTAGTAGCCGCGTTTTGCAAGCTCAGCAAAGTTCTGACACGTCTAGGATGGTATCTTGATCAGTTCAGTCAAAGTAAAGGCGCAAAACAATATAATAAACCCACCCGAGGGGCATGGTTCCAGTATAATTCAAGCTGAACGTCTCCGAGACTGGTTTCGAGAACAACTGAATCCATCGTGCTGTTTCTCCGACTTCCCACGCTGGTAGGAGGCTTTTGTTTCATCAAATCCCCAAGTACCTATACCCTGATGCGTGGGAACCCTTTCGAGAAAACTGTACGTGCATCGATGTCATGTCGAGATCTATCGTCTACAGCAAAACTTGTGTATGTCCTTTACATAATTTCAGTTTCTCTGTATCTTTGTTTTATTGACGAATTAAATCCAGACTAAAATATGATTCTCAATGGTTTTCTTACACTGGTGCTTGCTAGTATGCAGAAAGTTTGTCTGCTTTGTCTGCACCTGTTCTGGGTGGTGTTGCACTGCGTGTTGGTACTAGAAGATCAGATGCGCGAAATAAGGAAGGAATGTAGTGTCAATGCAATCATCTCATCGACGCCAAGCTCAAGCATGTCACTCTTCGAGAGTCTCCTGACGGCGCCTGTCCCACCAACTTGCACAAGAGGGCACTTTGCTTGCTGCTGAGTGAACGCGCAATGCATTCATTGATCATGCCCTGTAACGCACGCTATACCCATTCCATGCTAGAGCGAATATTTTGGGTGATGTTTATGTCGTGTATCTTCTGTTTTTGAGTTTACTCACTCTCAGATAAGGTTGTTTCCTGTTAGATTCTCATTCACGAGTCTGGCATGCTTGTTACCGAACATCCGTCGCAAGAAATTGTTTTGCGCTCTGTCAAACACATAGTATCAGCCTGTCTAGGACCTAGCAGTCGCAACGCTCATGGGTCCCACATGTATCAACTTGTTTTGCGGCGTATGCAGTTGCTGCCATGCACAACCTACATCAAGAAAGCTCTCCGCGATTCAAAAGGCAAAAGGAAGGTCAGTGACGAGTTTGTAGTGCTGCATCTGATCTGGAAGTGCCTGTTTGATGTACATACTCCAATAATTGTGATATACCAATAGACTGTTCACTGCCAATCTATCGTCATTTTTTGAAGTCGGGGATTGACGCTTCCCAGCGCTGCTACAATAGTAGTAGATATCGACCCTCGGGGTAGATCTGGACAGTCTTGCGTAATCTACATGATTGTTGTCCGAGATACTAAGACACAAGCTTCCAGTACTCAGTATCACTGCCTTTTGACGTAATGGTTAAGCAGATGACAAGTCTTGACTACTTACAGTATGCCTTATAGGATGGGATAAGTGAGTGCTGCCGCCGATGCCTGGAAGTAGGTGAGTTAACCGGTTGGCAGTGTTTTCCAACAGCACTACTGTGACATCTGGATGACACAATATTAATGATGCGTCAGGCCCTGGTCCTGTACACGAAAATGTATTGTCCTGCATAGAGTTTACTCTCAATAGGACAGAAATCGGAGGGGAAAAAAAGATACGTCAAAGACGGTCTCTTCCAAAAATCCAATTCTGCCGCCACCGTCGTCATCATCATAACTGACATGATCAACTGACCGCTGATGGTTGATGGTTCCTATACTGATGTCAGAACAAAACCTAATTAAGAGCCATTATCAGACAATCGAGGCGCTCAGCAAAGTTAATTGAAGCGCCACAGAGAAGTAAATTTTATGACTGGTAGGGTTGCAGTCAAGACAACCAACAGGTGTAGTGTCAGTGAAATTTAGCGCGATGGTACCAATGGAATTCCATGTCATTGAGCAAATGCAGACGACAATTGACTCTACATCGCGGTGTCAATGGAAAAGGGCTGTCTAGGAGAGACGCGCATGGAGGATCAGTGTGACTATGTTTAGAAGCCGGCCACTAGACGATTATCCGACCTCCTCGTTTGGAAAGCGTCCCAGTTTTTTTTTTGGCTTCAGAGTGTGGTCCTTTGGGGTCATAGACCTTATGTTGGACATGTCATCCCGGTGGTTTGTGCGGCGACGGCTACTAGGCAGTCCCAGGTTTGGAGGCATATCGGCTGAGCAATTCGCCCCCCAACAGTGCACTTCTGAGTCATGCTGACTTCTAATGCAGCCTACCTGAACTCAAAGGGGTCGTTCAGTGACATAGCGCATGGGCTCGGATGTCTCGGGGATGTGAAGGAATTCACTTACATCACATTTGGCCGTCAGCTGGAAGCAAGCAGGCTGCGCATGGTTGTCAAGCAATCTGAATCTATGACAGGTAGCAGCCAAGCTGATCAGATTCGAAGCGATAAGCAATACTTCCACTTTGCACTGCAAAAATACCTGCCAATTGATCCTACACGATATGAGGCTAGTACAAAAAAATTACTCGTTGGATCAGAGTAGCCCACATTACGCCTGCCAGATGCGCCATGGGCGTAAAGAACACGGTATAAAGGCTTCAGGTGATGTTCCATTTGGTGTTCAAGAATAACAAGTATTCTCCCGCATTCACACTGCTTCACCTCTCGCCTAGAGTCTACAGAACATATGGATAGCTTACGCATGCATCGTAAAAAAAGACATGAACGCACCATGAATTCATCCAGATCGACACCACAAAACCCATCGTCCTTACGGTCAGGGCAGGCCCTTGACCAACATTCAACGAGACTGGCCCTGCAGTCATGTCTTAAGCACCTCGACAGGTTAGAGTATCGCGTGCACGAGGAAATCCAAGGGGTCCGTAGCCTCTTTAGGGAACTCCTTGACGACTGCCAGTCAGATGCCACAACGGAGAATTCAGGCGGATGCAATAGCACCGTCGACTCCAAAGCTGGATTCGATGGCCTCAATACCATCCACTGCCTCGCGCCACAGCCTACACCCCATGGAACATCATTCAGGGTCATGGGATCACTGTCAGAGGGTACAGGTTCTCCCCGAGGTAAGTTGCTGTATATGCAAGCTTTTCCTTAGACGCTTACCATGTACAGGCTTATTGCCCCACAACGCCCGCAGTTCTGCCAACTATGTAACTCAGCCCCAGCACAGCATGTACTCGGAGGCCTTTTCGGCATCCTGCGACCCGCGTGTCACGGAATTGCCATCAGATAATGTAGATCCTCACCTTGGTTGATTCCCTATCATTCACAGCTTTTCCTTAAACGCTTACAATGTATCCCTAGATCTATCGCTGTGTGGAACGCCCGATTATGGCTATGAGCCCGCTGTGCAACCCTTCCAAGGCATCTATTACGAGGAACATGTCCTATCAAGTCCTTCAGCTAGACTCGGACCCAACGTGCAACTGTTTGTTCCCGTTGTGCAGGCTAGCCAAGCAAAGGACAAAGTAAAATGTACCTGGGACGGGTGCTCGGCACTCGTCAACAAGGATAACCTCACTCGCCACGTCGGGGAGGTGCATGAGGGGAAGATTAAGGCTGTTTGTGCAGACTGCGGAAGAGAATTCAAGCGCCCGTATCAGATGAATGAGCACATCCTTTCGACCAGATGTGGAAAATCGTAGATTGTTATCTCGGTAGTACACCACGGCACAAATCGCTACTGCCACCAATGCAAGTTTTTTTTTTTCTGGACTTTGACTTTGAGCAGGACCCCGTCGTCCTGGATTGTTAGTCAAGTCACCTGCCTTCGTTCTTGCCACCACAGCCTGAATGAGATGGATAAGCTCAGGCCAGAACTCATCGCTACGGGAGCCACAACCTGGGTATATGTTCTTTCTAGAACATCCTGCACTGTACGCGACACCCAACGCGTTGATTCGGAGGCTATCGTGTATCAATGCGCACGCAAATCACGTAGCTGGAAATACATTGGTGAAGCACGTGTGGGGGAGGAAGAATGACTTGATGGACTGCAAGTATCCAGGAAGCTAACACCCGTGGGTCGGCGGAATCATAAACCAACATAAGTTGGGAACTGTTGATGGACGAAATGATGTGGCAGTTTTAAGTGCGGACTGCTCGTCTCTGAGCGAAACTCTCCAAATTGTCTCGGCGAAGTGGTTGTGTGACTCCGTGCGAGCCAACCGGAGTCGGAGACTCGCTGCCAGTGAGCGGCGACACCAAACATGAAGAATAAGATGGCGATAAACAAGGCCAATCAGAGATACTTGATTACTTCGTCTTGATTTCAAGAAAAAAAAGCAATAAATATTGAGACCCGTAGGTCTACCACTCCGGGAAAGCGTGTCATCCTTGTGCAGGGGCCATGCTAATCTTCTCTGTATCGTTCCAATTTTTCGTATGTCACCCCGAGGGGGACAACAGTAGGTAGAGGCATAAAGTAGACCTCAGCACAATTTTGTTTTGTTTTGAATGACGGGTTTTGCGCCATAACAGGAAATTGAGAAACTGGCTTCAAATTAGGATTCACCCGTATGAAATTATTAATGCTACCTGATGCTAATGGAGTTTCGTATGACTGCTTAAGATAAACCCTTGGAGATGAGTCAATCATTCATTCAAGGCATGGTAAAAGGGGAAAAGATCATTGAGTCAAGATGGAGTCGAAGAACATGCATTGATGGTAAAATCATATGATAGCAGTCATTCGCCAACACAAAACGGGGTAAAAAGACTAGTCTGCATTCAATTCAATGGACACAAAACATGTCAGGCATAAGTGAGGCGAGGGCTGGTGCCAACGCTGTGACGATATTAATATTGAAGCATATAAAAGCTATACACCGAAACACAAATTTACTAGCAAAATTATGTGTCAATTTCAAACTGAAAGACAGCAAGAATACACAAACGAAAGCAAAGCCATGACAACATGAGGAGCGAGGCTAGCTAACTCCTTCGGTACTCAAGATGAAGCACTTCAAACTATGGATCAGCTTTGTTGCGACTGTTTCCGAGCCTTGACCGGGAGAGTTGACGATTGATGGACTGCGACTCCCGAGAGGTCTGGAGACAGGTGAAGCGGGCCCGGAGGAAGCGTCTGTGGCACAGAAGGAAATTCATCAAAGATTTCCTTCTCAAGGATACTGGGAGCAGGAGAAGATGATGAGTCCCGTGAGACCATCCAGTGCGATGGACGAGAGCCGGGTAATTCATTAGCATGGCGACCTGGAGGGCTTTTAGTTGGGGATGAGCTCGGAGGCTGGGATAATATAAACGACCTCTTCGGCGAGTTATATATCGAGCCTTGGTCTTGAGGAACAGCATACAATAATTTAGTCCATGCGAAGCTTTTCTTCTGAGCAGCTTACACACCTGTCTCCACTACGCTGACGTTCGACTTGGTTCTGTTACGGTTGAACAATTTGTCCGCAAACTTTCCCACACCGCCTTTCTTCGGAGATACACTTGGCCATGTAATACCAAAGCCTGACCCATCTCCATAATCAGATGGTGTTGCGACCGGGGCGGAGTCTTCAGAGGATGTTGAAATACTATCTCGAGGGTACGCCCCAGGCATATAGTTCGACGAACGACGACTAGTCAACCGCCTGATGCTCGAGAGATACCTCCTATGCGAAGGAGACCGTTGTGACGCAGATGTAGAAGCCAGACTCCTCCCGTCACCCTCATCCTCCTCAGGGATGTCCCCATCCATGTTAGGTTCTCGGATGGATGGAATAGATACAGAACGCTCTGAAAGGGAGGCAGTCTCCGCAGATGGAGCTTTAACGTGTTCCGCAGATGCAGTTGTAATGTGTTCCGTAGATGGGGCTTTGACGTGTTCTGTGAGTGTCGAGGAGGATACGGATCGGAAGTCGGTTGCGAAAGTGTCGAAGGTTGGGGTTTTGGGAAGCGCGGCCTCTACCAGTTCTGAGCCATCCCCCTCAGTTAGTTTCATCTCAAGCAATGCTGCTTCTTCTAGCAGGACGGCGAGTTCTCCATAGGCCGGACTCGAAAGTGGCTCGGCAGCAATAGTGATCCCCATCCGCCGCACACGCGCAACTTGTGGTGTTATAGGCGTGGAAAGGGATGAAGTCGGTGCTGTGGTAGCGGCAACTTTTGTGACCTTGTGATGCACTACAGCCGTGAAAGAGCGCTTGACTTCAGGCTTGGTGGTCTCTATCTCTAAATCAGGCGATGGGAGGCTGGGTTGTACTTGGATCTTTGGATGAGGCACGATGATAGAGATGGCCCCACTTTCCTCGGTAGGAGGAGACACTAGTAATGTTGTAGCCACGCCATCATGCTTCCTGTCATTGACATCATCGAATCCCAAGGTAATGGTAGATGTCAGGGGATGAGCCAATACTGAGTCATCTTCCGTAACCGCATTGGGGGCGACGAGCGAATGCGAAATAGTTGAAGACGAGTCGGGAAGGACAGCTTCCGAAGGCTGAGCGACGATCACAGATGCATCTAACGACAGTGGGCGATGATATGGTGATTGAGGCTTCTCGTCTGAAGGGGGATCAGGCTCGATAGCGGAAGTCACCTCCACGACGGTTACGACTTCTGGCGAGGACTGAGATGACGTTACGACATCCAATGCTATCACAGGCTCTGGATTAGAGTCAGCCTGCAAGCCAAGCTCTAGTACCGCTGGTTCCTGCTCTGCCTGTGATAGTGTATCCATATCTTGGGGAAGTGCATCATCTGATGAGTTGACAGGTTCAAGGGCCTGGGACGGGGCTATAATTCCAACGGGGTCTCTTATTTCCGTCGAAGGGGAAGTGGGCAGAGAAGGTGAAAGAAATTCTAGATCTTCATCTGCATGCTGAGACGTCTCCCCGAGGCTGACGACACGTTGAGTAGGACCAAAATCAACTGCTAGGGAGTTGCGACGAGCAAAAGGAGAAGCTGGCGACGGTGTGAGTGGAAGCGGTGGAACAGGCACCCCCGTTTTGAATCTCGGAGGAGTGCCTTTCAAGAGTGTACCCCCGGTAGAGACACAACGTTTCCTTGGCAAGGGTGAGTCGTCCGCTGGGGGTAGAGGTGAGCCAGAGCGACTCGATGGCGAGCCGCCTGGTTTCCCCACTCGATTCCCATACAACTCTCCACGCTTCTTTGCTGGTGCGTTTTCTGCCAACTGAGGCGTACCCATTGCGAAGCTGCCTCGTGGGACAGGGACGCCTCCCTTCTCCTCAAATTTAGCGATTTTGTCGCGCAAACATCCGGTTCCACTACTCGGGAGGTTCTTTGAAGCGAATTGCTGTTGACTTGGGGAGACATTCCTCTGCTGCAGGGCAGCAATACGTTCCTTTAGATTGACTGGAGGAGGGTACGCGCGCGAGGTCGCCCTAGTCTCATGGTTAGCATACAGAGACATACCAGAAGTTGTCCACGTACATTGACCGGGTAAACTATATTGAGATTTGAAACGACTCGGAGGTGTGGATAATTGGTGATGCGGCGGGTTGCAGCGTTGTGACCGCGAAATCAAATGAACGAAGAACCCAAGAACAATTGGCGCCAGTTGGAATGTCGCAAATCTCCAAATGCCAATGGGATTGCCACTAAAACAAAGTTCAAGCGACTGAGAAAGGTTCAACGACTGGCTAGCAACGGTTGTGCATGAGACCAAGATTAAGTGAGTGTGAGTAACCATCTGATGCACCAAGATGTTCTAACTCCCTCATCTCCAAATATACCTACTGGTTGACTTTGTCTACTTCGAGCTTATTCGGCCCCGACTCGTAACCTTGCTAGATAGTTCTACTTCTCCAGTTCTCTGATGCCATTGTAATAGTACTATGTCATCAGCTACTGTCTTCGGCACTGTCGACCCCAATCGCCTTGGAAAGCCAAAATGATCTGCGTTTGCTCGTCATACTTCGCATTTTATCACCAGAGGCTCCGTTATCTAGACCCATATTATAGTGCACTTCTTCCTCATCTACTGAGTCATCTTCGTCGGCGGTGAATTCGGGTTGCTCTTCTGACTGACTAGCTTCATTCCTCTGTACGGTGCGCCGCCTCTCGATATGGTATTTACCAAGTTCGTCGTTATCTTGACGGGAACCACTGGGTTCTTGCGGTAGCGACTCATCGTCGGATTCGAGCACCATATCCACGCTACGCTCCCGGGTCCGTGTACTGCTGCTTGCAATCATTGTCGATTTGTCCTGATCAGCAGTTTCGGGGACGTCGGCAACAACTATACGGGGCTTGGGAGAGGCCCCGAGCAGCTTATGGAGCAACCGCTGGTCGTAAACTTCTTGAATCAATAATCGATTGTTCAAAGTCTGTTGTGATGTTGAACATCTGTTGACAGTATAAAGAGAGCTATACCTCTTGGGTGATGCCAAGTATACTGGACAAAATGCTCATGTCTTCTGGTTCCCTGTGTCCACGTAAAGAGTAAGTCCGCCCTTCCTTACGTGCACCTAAGATCCCAGCCCGCAAGAAGGCCATTGATGTCATGATTCCGTGGGCTCCTGCAAGAGTCTGCCGAACTTTTGCAATTCCGTAAGAGCCTTTGGAAATATCATTCGCTGGTGGTAAAGGGAGCAATGGTGAACCATGTGTGAAAATTTTTGAAAGATTTAGCTCACAAGGATCGGTAGGGTCCTCGATGGACAAGTGGTTCCTCTTTGCGAAATCGTACCATCCTCGCTGTCTCTTGCTAAAATATGAGCCACCGTTACGCACGGATATTCCTACTTCCTCATAATTGAAATAGCAACCATAGAGTTCAAAGAACTCCATAACCAAAACTCCAAGATTCTTCTCTGCATCTATCTCCCCTCTACGAATCTTGGGATGCATCTGGAGGAAGCTGACTGCCATGCAAACAATACTGTAGCTGCCCAGACCACCGGTATACACTTCGTTCATCGCCCGCTGATTTAGAAATGCTTTTGCGATGATGACGAGACTCCGGAGCGCAAACCCACATCCGCGCATGCCGTTCAGAAAGCCGTTCACGATATCGCCCGCGACAACGCCATTACCCTGATTTATGCTGATATCCACGTTTAACCTGCCATAAACCGTGACGAATTTGATGATGGGCACTTTGGCTTTGGCAATGATGGTGACTTTGGAAGCGATCCGCGCGCGTTTGATGACATTAGCGAGGGTCCGTAGGACATTCACTTTATCGCTGTACGCCATCGACTCTGATTTGATCATGAGATCTATGTCCCTGAGCAGTTGTTAGCCTTGACTCTAACACGATACATATAACGTTTACCCATTCGGGAGGTATAATTTGGTTTCATAGCTTCCAAAGGGTAGTATCTGGGCATCTGGGAATGCATTCGTGATCGCATTCGAAACAAGAATGATTACCAGTCCTCGTATTTCCTCTTCGACTTCAGTTGGTGACATGTAACGAACGAATGCCTCAACCTCGCGATGCAACCTGTGGCAAATCAGCTCACAACGTCAAGGAAAGTTACAAAACGTACATCTCCGGAACATTGTGACAGCTGTCCCAGTCGACTTTGGCAATCCAAGGAGCCTTTCTTGAAGTAGGGGCAAAGTCCTGTCTGCGCTTTCTGTGGTCCCTCAAATCTTCATCATCAAAGACCATTTCGTACGTTCGTTTTGTTCCCCGACCACCTCCATCTCGCGAGCCATCCCCGTGTGTTTCTCGTTTCCCTTTGTCCCATTCTCGTTCCCGCGCTTTCTCTTTTATTATTTCCACATTATTGCGATGGGAGTCCTGTGTTTTGGGTGCTTCTGCTTCATTATCACTGACCGCAAACGGTATGAATTCGTCGCCAAACGGTCTACTTGAGTCATCGGGCAGTTCGCCTAGCTCAAGTTCAGAATCCTTTTCTTTGCCTTTGCCATTGGTTCTTGCGCGTTTTGAACGTGGCTCCCTTGGTGTCCTATCATAGTCGTGTTCAACAGCCATTTCTTTTGCGTGCCCCCTCTCATCCTCCTGTTCTTTTGTTCGTTTCCGTCGATGACTCCGAGGCGCCCGAGATTTTTGCCGTGACTGAGGAACCGTGTCTGACATCGTGGGTTGTCCAGCACGCCGCTGTCAGAATAAAGAGCGTTTGTTTGAATCAGAAGCCGTTGCCAAACAAACACCGTGATTGTCCCTTCCAGAATTCTAGAATAAACAAGTGCATGTATTGTTCACAACCATCACCATAACATAGCATATATACCATTTGTATAAGTAATAATATCAAGGGTAAAAAATCCAATGAAGCAAGATCAACTAATTGTATCAAGTGAACTTCACCCTCTTCAAATGGGTCATTGCGTGCACTGTGTCCTCCTTTCCAGGACCACCATCCTCCAAGTGGGTATCACCGCTTTCTGCGAAATAATAAACCCCGGTGCTAATTTCTTGCACATCCCTCCCGTGCCCAGTCCAACCACACTGTATTGATGTCACACTCTTTGATTTTACCTCCTCTGATACACCCTTCGCGGACCTCACGTGAACCAGTGACTCGGCTCCCGCTGGGAATTCATTAAAATTCAGGTCCAAGTGAACCATTCTGATAATGTTGAGGAACGCCTCCGCGATTTGAAGAAGCTCCTGATTTCTGGAGCTGGCTATCCATCTTTCATGAGCGCGCACGTCATCCCATCCACTGATGAGGTAGATCTCAGCAGGCTCTGCTGAATTTGTGAAGAAGGTTAACGGATAACCTGAAGAGGATGATTGCCAGGAAGAAACCTTGGAGAAGAGATCTATTACATGCGGGTCGGAGAGTGTATTAGGGGGAATCAATGAGAGGGATGCGAATTCTGTGACTGGCATAATGAACTGTCTCGATGTCGTTGGACCACAATTGAACCTGGTGGGCGCTGAAGTAATGAATCAAAACTATTTGGTACCGTTGGCTCCTGTGCATCTAAATACGCTGGACGCGTCAGCGCCACTAGTATTACGTTGGCCTGGATGAGCTTGCGTCATTCAAGGATCCTGCCGACTCTGGCTGTCTCGACATCGTCGGAAATGACTGAGAGTGCTCTCGATCGAACATCATGTATATATTGAAAACAATGAAAGTGGTAAAAATAGTCCAAGGTTAAGTGGGGATCTGGGTAGGAGGGTACCCACTGAGAACGGTGGAGAACGCCTTTGCCAAAATACTAGATAGAAATGGTATTATTAGGGACAATCAGACACGTAACAGCAGGAGCATACTTGTGAACAGTGAACAGTAGACACGCACCATTAAGCCAGCTACAAAACAATACATTAGAATCGCTTGGGAGCCCCGACCTGACCTACAAGTTGCTCGACGCAGGCGCACAGCCCTCAACTTGGTAAGTGGGAATGAGAATCCCATCTCCTTAAGCTTTACAGTAATCAGTGACGTTCACGAAACTGAAAGTCTGCCACTCATCAAGCAGGGCATTGTAGATGGGCAGAGTGTCAATCACGGCAATAGTGCCAATATGGGTGCTTGGATTGAAAGATTCACGCACCATACGTGAGCTGTGCATTGTACCCAGTGATATCAGTGCCCATTATCGCTGCAGCTTCGGGATCCCGCTCGATGAAGACAGTTGTGCGGTCGATAGGTGTGTGTGTGAGGAACAAAAACCACCGAGTACCCTTTGAGTACAGATCCTCTGCCTGATGCAATAATGACCATAGCATGATAAACGTTCCAGGTACAATCGTCACCACCTGGGAAAATAGACTGTCCATGAGAGTCTCATGAAATTCAATTTGAGTTGTGTTTGTCTGGATGCAAATGATCAGCAATAAAGACTTTCATCACAGGCATGATAAGAATGACCCGCTCAGCTGAGAGATCTGGCGTGCACATTTGTATTTAAACACCTGGGATGATAAGATGAAGGAACTTGTGTAGGAGGGCCGAGACTGATCAAGATCGTGCCGGTCACCATATGGACTGAATACAAGACTGATCGTGGCTCACGATTACCGATGTCAATACGCTTCAATTGCAAGAAGCATCATCCATAAGACTTCGACTACATAGAGCATCTTCAAGATGTCAAATTTTCAGCAGGTATAACATAAAAACCAAGGCCCAATCGATGGGACGAAATACAGTATAAGATTAACTTGAAAGTCACGGGGACATTATATAGATTCCTCGTGCCAGAATTTCCTTGTTTCGATGTGAAAACATTCAGAGACACTGGTGAAAAGTCTGAAGTGTTCGCTCACATTAAACTACTCGGGGTATCACTTGCGCGATATCGGCATAGAGGTGTTCCCTTTTTATCTTCTCTTGAAGAAGGCGGGCCAGATGTGTGTCCTCGTTACGACCTGCAGCGCGAATAATTTGCTTATCTTGATCTGTCATCTCAGTGCGTAGATACAATTGATTATCCTTATCTGCCCGAATATGCATGTTGATAACCCTATGCAAGGTAAGGGGAGACTAGAATTGAAAAGATGAGAACCTACTCTAGACATAACATAGCACTCATGGGTTTCCTGGTTTCTGCGCCCGTGACAGCAGAGACAAGTAAGAAAGGCTCTCGAGCCTTGGCGATGTCAAGGACAACACGTGGGAAGTGCAGCTCAACGGTCGCCGCATTCCCAAAGTGTTCTGTGCAAGTAGCATCAATGAAATCCACGAGTCCGACAGGATCTTTGGCAAAACCCTCTGCGTCGTGCCTTGCCCGAGCCTCACGCCATTTGTCTACCCGCTCCGGCGTAAGTTCATATGGTGCCATTGCATTGACCTGCACCATCCCTTGAAGCTTCTCCCCAACCGATTTGCTGCCCAAATACAATCCAACAAAGTCTAGGACATCACTCGGCTCGATGGCAATATCAACGCGCACCCCGAACGGCACGTCAAATCCGATCCGGGGATTGTCAATCAGGCCACAGTCGATGGCGGCGCCAATTTTGAGGAAATTCATGAGTAACGGATTCAAAATAAACATTCGTATGAATTTGAGGGCTCCCGAGGAGCGTCCGACTTCGTGGCATCTCGGTTTGTGGGTGGACCTATCCTAGCGTGAGTCACAAATCCAAGGCTGGAGTGAGTGTTGATCATAGGCAGCATCCTCACCAGTGTTTCTTTTGACACTGAACCGTGACGTGTCAGCACTTCAAATGTTTGCATCGTTCCAGTCGCAAATCCTACCTCTTTTGAGCAATACCAAACGCTCTTACACTAAAAGTTATTTGCAACACTGAGGAACGTCTATAACATCATGTGAATATTTGACTGTCACCTTTGCACATTTCAAAGGTTTCTCCAATGACATTTGACACTGCGTACATCGTATGCGAAGCATTTTCCGGTTGGCTTTGAGGAATTCGCTGGAAACCGCTAGAGCACGGAACTGTTTGTCCCTCTCGGGATGAGTCGCATGCTGAATGACAACGACTGTTGGAGTTGCAAAAGAGTTGTTTGGGTCAGTACTCATGTTCTGGCAAAGGAAATAAGAGACGAGTTTGGTGGCGAGGTGAGTCACCGTGAGTGCCAGCAGTGGAGTTTACAAGGGATACATAATTAAAATGATCCGAAGAAGGCATCACGTACTTGGCGACGTACTAATATCTGCTACAGTACTTATTCAACTATTTACATGATCTAAATGTATGGCGCAGGCCGTTCAAGTTGTTCACATATTCTGTCTATGTTCAAGTAAGTATTTGCAGCAAGTTCACACCATCTAGACGAGTTTGGTCTTATTTGATGAAGGCTCTCATTCAAAGATTCGACCATCATGCGGACGCACGACTTCAAAATCTAGCCCAAATCTTCGCTCCAGTTGACCACGAACTTGGGTTATTCACAGGTTCCGCTAACCCCTGACTGTATTGACGTTGTTTAGAATCATTGGCCGGAATCGCACACCCTACAGCTGAACCGGACATTGTATAAAAGTGGTAACGGGGCTTCAGGTTTAGGTGGCGGTCTGCGTGGCAGGATAACCACTAAGGGCAGTGGAGATCCCCTTTGCCAAAATACTAGATATAATAGTATCATCAGGAACAATCAAACATTCAACATCAGGAGCATACTTGTGAACAGTGAACAGTGGGTGCAGACCGTTAAGCCAGCTACAAAACAACAACATTAGAATTGCCCAGGACTTTCGAATTGACCTACAAGTGGTTCGACACGGGTGCACAACCCTCAACCTGGTAAGTGGTAGTGGGAGTGCCATTTTCGTAAGCTTCGCAGTAACCAGTGACAGTGTCAAGGTCTGGGTGCTTGGATTTGAAGGTTCTTACGGATTGCGTGAGTTGCGCATTGTACTCAGCAACGTCAGTGCCCATTTTCGCTGCAGTGTCAGGACCCCACTCGGTGAAGAGGGTTGTGTGATCGATAGGTGTATGAGTGAGGAACAACAACCATCAAGCACCCTTTGAGTACAGATCCTCAACCTGATGCAACAAGGTCAAATACGTCAGGTACAATCTTCACCACCTGGGAAAACAGACTTTCCATCATAAAATTCAATTTGAATGATGTTCGTCTGGATGCAAATGGATCAGGGATAAAGACTCCCAATACAGGTATGATAAGAATGACTCACCCAGCCGAGAGATATCGCCTGCATATTTATATTTAAACACACGAAGTATTTGGAATCCTGCAGAACACCTGGCAATGCAAGATCTTCCAGCGATTGTATTGTCAATTTACGGGCGTCAGTAAAGATGATAAGATGAAAGAACACGTATACGAAGGCCAAGACTGATCAAGATCATGCTGGTAGCCATATGGACTGAATCTTCGACTACATGGAGCTGCAAGCATCTTCAATACGTCAAATTTTCGGCAGATACAACATAAGAACAAAGGCCCCATTGATAGGATGAAGCACGGTACAAGACTGACTTGAAAGTCACGAGGAAGAGGATACAGATCGCTCGTGCCAAGATTTCCTTGTTTTGATGCGAAGATTCAGGAAGACTGGCAAGTAGCCTAGAATGTTTGCTCACATTATGTAAACTACGCAGCGCGTCGTTGCACGATATTGGCATACAGGTGTTCTCTTTGCATCTTCTTTTTAACAAGGCGGGCCAGATATGTGTCCTCATTGCGACCTGCAGCGCGAATAATTTGCTTATCTTGATCTGTCATCTCAGTGCGTAAATGCAGCTGATTATCTTTATCTGCACGGATATGCATGTTGATAGTCCTACGCAACGTAAGGGGCATTAATTGAGAAAATAAGAACAGAGAACTTACTCTAGCCATGTCATAGCACTCATAGGTTTCCTGATTTCAGCGCCCGTGATAGCAGAGACACCTAATAAATGTTCTCGTGGCTTTGCCATGTCAAGGATACCAGGTAGGATGTGCAACTCAGCGGTTGTTGCATTCCCAAAGTCGTTTGTGCAGTTAGCATCGATGAAATCTACGAGTCCAACAGGATCTTGGGCAAAACCCTCTGCGTCATGCCTTGCCCGAGCCTCACGCCATTTGTCTACCCGCTCAGACGTAAGTTCCCATGACATCATGGCATTGACCTGCACCATTCCTTGAAGCTTATCCCCAGGAGATTTGCTGCCGAGATACAATGCAATGAAGTCTAGGACATTACTTGGCTCAATGGCAACATCAACGCGCACCCCGAACGGCACATCGAATCCGATCCGGGGATTGTTAAGCAGGCCACAGTCGATGACGGCACCAATTTTGAGGAACCCCATCAGTATCGGATTCAGAATGAACATTCGTATGAATTTGAAGGTTCCCGAGGAGCGTTCGACTTCGTGGCACCTCGGTTTGTGGGTGGGCCTATTATAGGGTGTTAAGGCTGGAGTAAATGTCAATCATAGGCGGCATTCTCACCAGTGTTTCCTTTGACACTGGACCGTGACATGTCAGTGCTTCAAATAGTTGTGTCGTTCCAGTCGCAAATCCTACCTCTTTTGAGCAATACCAAACGCTCTTACACTATAAGATATTTGCGACGGTTGAGAACGCCTGTAACATCATTTGAATATTTGATCGTTACCTTTGCACATTTCAAAGGTTTCTCCAATGACATTTGACACTGCGTACATTGTACGCGAAACATTTTCTGGTTCGCTTTGAGGAATTCGCTAGAAACCGCTGTAGCACGAAACAGATTGTCCCTCTCGGGATGAGTCACATGATGAACGACGACTCCTCTTGGAGTTGCAAAAGAGTTGTTTGGGTCAGTACTCATGATGTTCTGGTGAACATCAGTAAACCGGTGAGTTCTTGCTGGGGATTATGCTGATTATGGTGCTTTTACATGGTCATATATTGCTTTATATCACTTTATATTACAATGTGACGAAAACCTTTCCTATATATTACGATATATAACGATATATGACGATATCTTCTTCTCACAGGTTCTCTGATGGCCAAGGCGGTAGGAGATGAGTTTGGTAGCGAGTTGAGCGCCAACCAGTGGCAACAGTGGACTTTGCGAGGGATACATAATTCAAATGGAGTCTGCGACATGATCCGAAGAAGGTATCACATACTTGGCAAGAGAGAAAGAGAATTTTCTATATTTATGCCGCAGCTATGGCACACTGGCGCCAGGCGTACGAGTTAAGGACAATAGGCATGGTACGAACCATAGCCAATAGTCTTTTGTGCAAAGGTGTTGGTTTTTTCCAGCTTGCGCGTCCGGATGGCGTCCATGCTGATTTAAAAAAAAAACCCCTCCACACAGTGCAGAGCGACACCCAGGTGAAGTATTCAAATTAATCAAGCAAAAAGAGGAAGTAGAATTTTATTACGCACGTGACTACACGAAGACTAGGAAATTAGTCGCAGGTGAGTCATACTATCGTTGGGCCAGAGTTGCAAAATTGTATAGAGTTGCAAAACGCTTCATAGCTCACGCAACAACACATCTTAAGTCCTCTATTCTTGGATCTAAGACCTTCCAACACAGATTCATAGCATTGTATTTTTTTTATAAAAAAATAAGTATGAGGAACATGTATGGCTTCAAATCTATCACTCGAAGTCACCTGTTTCGCATAGAATAGTTAGGGGAAGACGAAGTTTCTAACCAAAAAATTTCATTTTTTTTCACATACACTTTATACCTACCCTTACCTTCTGAGCATTTTTCCGATGAGAATAGAGCAGAGTTGTGGTTGTTATTGACGATGCAATCACTGGTGTCAAAGAATGCTCAAGCGTGACAGGTTGGGGCGGAGAATCAATTCTGATTGCGGACTCTCTCGCGCTGCAATCATCCTAATGCCAATGTTGCTTCTATGCGCTGCAATGCGACGTGTTCAGGAACTGAATGTAACATGTGAGGACAGAACTGGGTGGGATAGTTATCGTTTCGCTAAAGACTAGGATAAACAGGTAGTGACATTGGAATGGTACGAGAATCGATATAAGCAAGAACGAGGCGATGGTTATTGACTGTTTGGGCGAAAGCCCGCAGGGCTTTTCCGGACTGAAACAGGGACCGAAACTAGGTATCAATGGTGAGCTGTGTTCCTGAAAAGTAGGAGGACTACGACGCATGCAGCGAAGCTTGATGCCCCGGGAGAGAAAAAGGAGTTGGTACTCACGTCGAGATGTGGCTTCAGCGTACTGGTGGCATGGTGTAACGCGTGAAGGGTTCCAACGCGGGCGAGGATTGTATATAAGGTGCTATGACCTTTGCGTGATCTCGGAGGTACAAGGTGAAAGCCTCGCTTGACCACCTTCCCATCGTTTTAACGACATCGAACGGCACACCACGCAGGAGGTACTCCAGGGTTCCTCCGATACGTAAGCCATGACCTTTGAGGTCAGAAAGACCTGCTGCCGACGCGGCTAGGGTCATTCTCTTCGTGAATTCTGTTTTCGAGAGAGGGCGCAGGCCCTTCTCGTGTTTCCATGCAAATAAATGTGCCCCGGACTCGGCCGTGTTGATTCTAATGTGGTTCTCCATGGCCGCTTTGGGGTCTGTTGGACCGTTTTGAGCGGCCCAATATGCTTCCTCGCCCACTACTGGGGACGATTTTGTGCTAGGAAGGGAGAATTTGGTGATTGGCAGGCCGTCGCGGTTAGTCGTTTCTATCATTCCGGCCCTTGATATATGTTTTTTCGGATCAAAACCTTTGACCGTTCTGACAGTGAACTCTCCTAATCTTGCTATACAGTAGAAAGTTGTGGTCATACAAGCAAAAACCGCTGCGTCAAGTGGTTCGTTTAAGTTTAGGTGTTCGCGGATAGAGGAAAGGAAGTCTGGGGTGATGGGTTGCCTCTTGGGTCGTTTGGAGGATGAAGGAGCGAGCGCGGTAGCACCGTCCAGCGTTGCTTTGAGTTCGCCTGGTCTTACCAGCCAAAGTCTGCCATGAAGCAAATGCCACGCCTTGATTCCGGCTGCGTAGTTTGCCAACGCTGAACTGGAGTATGCACCTGCACAACTGGATAAGAATTTGAGGAGGAGACTGGAACTGACTGGACAACGTTTGGTTTCTTCTATGTTGTTGAGGTCGCAGTAGACATGGAATACTAATAATCCTGCTCCATAGGTCTCCTTCGTAGATTGGGCCCAAGCGGAGCCCATTACTTCCAGGATTCGGTTCAATTGCTCGTCTGATACTTCGTGAGTGTTGGGGTCTCCTGCTGAAGACGCTAACTGTCTGGTGCTGCTTCCCGCAGGGACCCAGAGTCTTAAATGTTCGCGCACCAGGCAATGAGGTCAGAGGTTGGATGGACGAGGGGTGAGGTTCGGTTTGTAGTTCTGGGGGTTGGTTATGGATGCTGCGGGTGACTCTGGTAAGGGTGCTCCAAAACGGTTGCGATTCATGTAGTCACTCGTCTCTGATCGCACGGCTGATGAGGTCTTCTTCTTCGGCCTGATAGATCTTGTTTCGCTCTGCTGCCTGTTGTCTGAGGAGGGCACGATTGATGAGCTTAGCTGCGGGAACAGAGTACTTCCCGTCTCGCAACATTCGTAGCTCGATGGGGGAGAGTGGTAGAGTTGCGTCGATGATGAACTGGTTAAGTTCGACGGGAAAGTTGATGGGAGGGAGAAGAAGGTGGGTGGGTCCGAGTATGCCCCTGGATGGGCCATCTGCGGGATTGAACTCACTTGGGACGTAGGCTGTTGTAATGTCGAGACGGTTGGGTAGATGGTGAAGGAAGTCGTGGATCCTCCGAAAAACTCCGTTGACCGCTTTGTTGCGGTGTCTGTGCTTCCACCAACCTTCCACGACCCCGGTGTTGTCCCCGTGGACGAGAACATTGTTGCTAGTGTGTGGGAGAGAGGCGAGGGCATAAATAAGCAGCTCAAATCCGATGGCTTCGGCCCAACCGATTTCTCTTTCTCCATTGAGAGTCTTCCAACCTGGTATTAACCTCCAAGCTCTCCAGCGTTCTCCTATAACGATACCTATTCCGATGCCTGAGCTCGTGTCCGAGAAAGCGAGAGGATTTTGGAGTCTGTTAGTTGGATAGATGTCCCGTGCTACTCCTCCTGATTGAAGAAGATCCGACCACCAGTCTAAGTCTTCGCTTACGGTTTTTCCCGCTCTGTGGGGCAGAAACGGCTTAGCTCCATTGGTCGATAGCATGTCCTCGAGGCTCATGAGGTAAGCTCGTCCCCGAGGTGCCGCCGAACATGCGTGCAGTAGTTTACCGTACAATTCTTGTACGTCTTGTAGCACATGCACGTGCCTCTTCCTCCATTTGTGGATGGCCGCGAGGTACTTGTCCACCTTTGCAGGACTTAAGGCTACTACCATCCGCTTCAAATCCCACGTGAAACCTATATAAATGGTCGAGGTACTGAAGAATTGGTCTTTCAGGCGCTCCCAAATGATACCTAGGAAGTCGGATAAATCGTCTAAGTCTTGAAAACAGAAGGTGAATAAGGCGTCGTGAGTCGAACGGAGTGAGCGTTGCGATAAATCTACTAATGGTGATGAGCGGTCTTCGCTAGACTCCTCCATCCGACCTTTGATCGGGCAGAATCCGCCGAACCATAGCCTACTGCCTGACTGCCTTAAGCCGGCTTCAGCGAATTCTTTGTACCATGATGCCCTGCTGTCGTTGTAGCTTTCAAGGTACTCGCGCCTTATTCTGAGAAATATGTGGTCATCGACCCATTTATCCAGTGGTCCGATTCCACAATGTCGAAATATTTCGGTTCCGGCGTCAGCTACATGTCCGTAAATTCCTGCTGACGGAGTAGCGCCGAAAGCCGTGCAGGTATCTACACAAAACTGAGTGTCCGAGATCCGGATTACGCCCGCTGGCCATTGCGAAGGATGAAGTGGGACTGTTCGATAAGCCTCCGCTATGTCTCGGGTCGCGGCTTCGGAACCTGGAGGGAGAGTGGATATTAAATGGTATATTATGGAAAACTTTCCCCAAGTTGTTGGGAAGTTGTCCGCGTCTATGCATGAATTGATCGACGGATTAGGGAAGCACATACTCAGAGAATGCGGGAAAGAGAAGTTCTGAATGATCCAGAATTTGCCTGGTTTTCTGGGCTTCGGGATGATAGCTAGAGGGGATGATTGGAAAGGCCCGATTAGACGTTCTAACATGTTTGCTTCGAAGGGGCCGACATATCTCCCTTTGTCTATCTCTTTTTGGATGATGGAATGAAATTCGGCTTCGAATTCGACAATTGAGGCTTTATTAGGAGGGGTTTGTACACAAGTGACAGGGGGGAAATCTATTTTGAAACCGATACGCAGACCTTCAGGTATCTTAACAAAACGTTCGTAGAGTCTGAGATCCTCAAGCTCGCACGTCCAAGCCTCTAATTTATACGGCGTTAGCGGGTTCTGCCTTCTGTGCTCGAGCACATCTCTGGGCGCCGTGGGAAGAGGCTCCACATCCCGAGCAGATGTGTCGAGCGTTGTGTCTAGGCACTGTGCAGCCTTCTTCGCGCTGCCAAGCGGTGCAGAGTTGCTTTCCGTCCTTTGTCCACAGGCCTTTGCGGATACGTTCCGTGAACGTCTCGTGTTGCTTGTCCCATGTGTGAGTGGCCATGCACTCAATGGTTTTGTGCGGGTTGCGTCCCAAGCATACTGCACAGCATGGGAGGGGCCCGGAGGTAAGAGGAGCACGATCTGTGCGCACCTTTTTGTAACTGCCCATTGGTTCTTCGTAGGGAGGCTGCGAGCGCTTCTGGGACGCGTGTCCTTGCTGCGCTGATGCTGGTTGTTGCTGGCGCGGGGGTTCTGCTCCCTTGGCTGAATAAGCTGCTGCTGCCTGCTAGATGATTGTGGATGTGGATGTACCACGACGCGCGATGCGAGAAAAGAGTGGGAGAAAATTCAAGCCAAGAATGAGAAGTTTGGTTGTGATAACTGCAAATTTTGAACGAAGTGATTTCGTTTTCGGCACGTGATTGGCCATAGCCCAAAAAGGTTGTGATAACCAAGGCGTCGTCATGCGTGATGCATGAGTAGAGGGGGGTTTTTTGTCGGCGCGCGATTGGCCGACAATTGAAAGTTTTTAAAATGACAAGAAGGGGTAGACAAAAGGAGGGAAAGACGGTGCGAAGGCACAAGGGTATGATGAGCGCTCGAGTTTTACGAGAGACCTCAGGCTGGAATGACTGACCTGTACTGCGAATGCTGTTTCCTTGTCTCTCTTCTCATTGAATAATTCTTCTCTCGCTTCGAACAACAGATCTTGGTTGATTTCTTCCAAACTCCAACCTTGCGCCGTTCCTACTGTAAGGTGCCAGCGACGTCGTTGTTGCGACTGGTACAGTAACAGAGCTTTCTGTTTGAGTACGTCGGGTGCGTGGCGCCAGCGGTGAGCTTGAAGAGCCATCCAGAATTGGATATGCATGCTGACTCTGTCATCGGGCCAGTCGTGTACCTTCATGAAAGAGATGATGCGCGGGGCCACTTCATTGAACTCTTCCCATGTGAGGTTTTCGTCTTTAGTAACGGGGGCTGCCTTGGGATCTTTGACCGCTGCGGCGGGCACCCAAGAGTGTACTCCATCCGCTGCTGGGAGCATTACTAATGCATCGGGCTCCGCAATCAAGGTTGCGACCTTGGCCTCGTCTAGGCCTTTGTTGGTGAAGTAGTGCAACTCGCAGTAATCTCCTGCTTTTAGTCTCCTGGTCGCGTATTGCGCTGGGAGTATAGTAGGGTCGGAAGGTACCTTTCCGCGCTTGATAGGCGCGTACTTGTTCTTATTTTTCTTCCTGTCTTCTAAACGAGTTGCTTCTTCTTCGTCTTTGAGGTCTTGCAGCCTCTGGGCTTCGTCTTCTTCGGCTCGTTGACGAGCCTCTTCTAAGAGTACTTGCCTAGCTGTCCAGCGTACCTTCTCAGCGTTATTGTTAAAATTCCATAACGCTGTCAAGGATCGAGTGGCCTGCTGCTCGGTTAAACCTTCGTCTATTAGTTGTTGTCGTTCTCCTTGGAACTCTGGTAGCGTGTAGTCTGGTCTAATTGCATTGTTAGGGTCCATACTGGCTATGTAGAGCTTTGGAAAGAAGCAAAAAGACTTAGAAACTAGACGTTGGACTGAGACTGATAGACGACTGCGAGGTGGTGAGAAGCAAGAAGCTTTCTGCGCCACCTCGCTAAATTTGCGCGTAGAAAACCAACTTTCTCGTCTCATACGTACCGGTTGCCGGATCGGGGTTCATATTCATAAAATTGACATTGTGACATAGTGTGACATCTACGCCAACCCGCTCATGGGAAATTTTGCAACTCTACTATTTCTAACATCTTGCGTCGGCATCCCTCTGGCAGCATCTTTTAAATACCTTTTGTTCTTCTGTCAACTAGAGCTTTCCTATGACACACGTAGCTATAATTCCATGTAATTATTTTGTCTCAATGTGGGGTAGTTATTGAGATATGAAAATGAGGTCTTCAGATTTTGCAACTCTGGCCCAACGATAGTACTATCCGTCCTAAAGCCGGTGAACCTCCCTTCCCACGCGGCGTCATCCTTAGCTTTCTGGATGAAGATTGTTTTATCATAAGCCGGACGGCCTCTGCGATATTATTCAGTGACTGATACTAATCCATACCTCGCAATGGACAGTGGGTAGAAGCTGTGTGCATCAGAGATTCATATATTTTTGAGGTTTTCACTGATGTAGATCTGAATGCGACTCACCATTCCCGCTCCTTTATTTTTCTCCGGTCTCTGTATTCCAAATGATGCCATGGTTATGGTGTACTTCTCTGTTCCTGCTGCTAATTTTATCTCATCTAGGGCGTACGACACCATATTTTCCCAGCTGTCAGTGACTCTGAGTGGCCTAAGGACTCTGGATTTTTCTCGTCTTTCTCCTCCGTACGCATACCGTTTCGTCCCATGGTGCACGTGCAAATGTCTCGCTGTCTGGTACAAATACAACATCCCGAACCACATCCTCACGGTCCTTACACGGGACAGACTCTTGAACTTCCCAGATCAAGATTTTTCCATTCCCTCCTCCACTCACAACAACCCAACACCCTTATGAGGACGCCGCACCCGTTTAGACAGTGTCATTGTGACCCAACAAGGGCCCCACTTATTTCCAACTTGTCCAGATCCCACACCTGGAGATGCCTGTCGACCGAGCCAGTTGAAGAGGATACGGGTGTCGAGGATGGAAGCTCGTTCATCAATTCTCTATGACCCTTGAAGCTTGAGCGTCAGTCCGAGTAGTGGTGATCGCCATTCAATATTCAATATTAACCAGCGCGTCTCCAATATGACCATGTCTGGCACTATCAGATTTCAGGATAAGTTTTCACGCGTTGATCATCTAGGTCTATCTATTCGGCTGTGGAACCAGTTCTCTGTTCCTGAAGGCGTCTTCTGCCTGAATGGACTGGTCATCTTTGCAACATGCTCAATTATGTCTTGCGCAACTCTTCAAGCCAGATGATTCTGCTAGATTTTCATTGAAACATCTGACCACCGCGCGGACGCACGACTTCAAAATTAGCCAGTCCACGTCTTCGCTCCAGTCGACAGTGAACTTGGGTCATTTACAAATTCCACCAACTCTTGACTGTTTTGAGAATAGCTGAGATCACACACTCTACCGTCTACGGCTCCACCGAACGTTGTATAAAAGTGGTAACGGGACTTTAGGTTTAGGTGGCGATCTGCGTGGCAGGATGACCACTAAGGGCAGTGGAGATCGCCTTTGCTAAAATGCTAGATAGAAATAGTGTCATCAGGAACAATCAAACATTCAACATCAGGAGCGCACTTGTGAACCGTGAACAGTGGGTGCAGAGCATTAAGCCAGCTGCAAAACAACACCATTAGAATCGCCTAGGACTTTCGAATTGACTTACAAGTACTTCGACACAGGTTCACAACCCTTAACCTGGTAAGTGGTAGTGGGAGTGCCATTTTCGTAAGCTTCGCAGTAACCAGTAACATTTACAAAACCGTAAGTCTGCCAGTTGTCAAGAAGTGTGTTGAAGATGGGCTGAGTGTCCACCACAGTGACGGTGTCAAGGTTTGGGTGCTTGGATTTGAAGGTTCGTACGGATTGCGTGAGTTGCGTATTGTACTCAGCAACGTTAGTGCCCACTTTCGCTGCATTCTTTGAACCCTGCTGGATGTAGAGGGGTGCGCGATTCAGAGGTGGAACAGTGAGGAACAAGAACGATCGAGCGCCCTTTGAGTACAAATCTTCAACCTGATTTAATGATGTCAATAGCATATCGAACGCTCCGGGTACAACCCTGCTTACCTGGGAAAACAGACGGTCCATGAGAGTTCCATAGAATTTGGCTTGAGTGATGTTGGTCTGGGTACAAAGCGATCAGCAACAAATACTATTCCCATCGCGAGTACAATGAGAATAACCTACCCAGCCTTCAGAGTTTCCCTGGATATATAAATTTAACTATTCGAAATTCACGGGATTGTGCGGAATATACTTACAATATCATTTATACCAATCCACACAGCGAACAGACTGTTTGTGCTGTCCCATGCAGCGCCAGCAGGCTTGGATGCTAGGTACTTGTCGAATTGAGCCACCTGATCAACCACAGAGCTGCAGATATCATTCAGACAACGACCGAATAGAAGGACTATACACACAGCACAGTGGGTTGATAAGGTGGAACAAGGGCTGCATCGATTGTTGCACCACTGTACGCCAAGTCGAAGGTCTGGACTTCATATATCAGTATACCAGCCAGATAAGTGCATTATACTACTCTCACCCTCACGGTCTTTTGGTTGTATGTACCGGCTATTGCGGTGTCAGATACAGAGTAGTGCTCCTTTCTCTTGTTACTTACTCAAAAATTGAACCCAGTTCTGACCATCTGATGAAGTCTGAAGATATGAGGTCGGTCCAAGAAACAGTCAAAGCACAGGCCAAATGCTTACATATCCTGGGACTGGTGAGTTGACACCAGCAGAGATGTTGTATCCATCGGTGCTGTATGAGTCTCCAAATACAAACATGTATTCAGTCGCGTTCCACGAAAGGGCTGACGCGAAAGAGCTCGAACAGAGTAAACCAATACTGGCGACGACTAGGCTGCGCGCCATCTCCAGAGAACGCTGGAAGGGATCAAATGGGTGGATTGAACTCACGACCGTCATCATCTTTTATATAATCATGCTACAGAAACCCTGGGTAAGGACTACAGTCCGTAACCTGACAATAGTCCGCATTTCGGACTACATATCGCATGGAAATGGCACTTGAACCTATTTGTGAGATTCGGATAAAGAAATGACCTCTGCCGGGCAAGAACGGTTTCAAATCCAGTGTTTCCCCGAGCGAAGCCACATTGCCTGGGGGATAGGGAATTAATTATGTTGATCCATTAGACGATACCAGTTCGTCAAGTGCTTTGTCACGCGATCTACGTGGATCACTCGTGAAGGCTACCGCAAAGGTCACTATGATCATTTGTCAGTTCTCATGCTGCCATGATAACTCCTTGGCCGTTTGACTAAGCACACACCAGTAACACAATCATTCCGAGTTCTTTTGTGGCAAAGTATAATGCGTTAAGAGGAAGCCATGTCGCAGCACTGTCGTTACGGAGCCAACAAGAACGCCTAGCAAGCGCACACCCGAGGTGTATCATCGGCAAAAAAAATACGTTGCACCTCAGTTAAAATATCATCTACACGATGATCCTATCATATAAGTGTGTTCTTCAGGAAATTCAAATGTTACTGACCATTTATCTGTCTGGATCAACGCGAGATGTCGGGGGCACTTAATCATATAGCAAAAACCGCACGTCCTACTGTGGCAGGGCGACCAATCTCATTCTCTCTTAGCCTGACTCGGAGGTGCTATTACCACAGCCAACCTATATCAAGCGATTGATTCGCGACATTTATGTTGTCACTTATTAGTTCAAGATAAATGTAAGAAGAACCCTTGGGTCAACTGACTCGGGAAATTGTATTACAACAGGCGGCTACGGCGCCTACTGAAGAAAATTGCTGGAAGAAGCGCTGAAGATGATCCGTATGCTGGACACCACGTGTCTACAGCAAAGCCCACATCAGGGTTCAGTGATAGTCAGTATCTTACAGAAGATGCAACTTAACGACTACTCATTATAACGCACTGGCATGTAAGTGATTGCTGCTCCCTCGGTATTTCTGCTAACCGAGACACGGAACAAAGATTGAATGGCGGTCACCACCCACAAATCACCCACAGAAGCGCCCGCCCATCCTGTTGAACCGACACTCAAGGGTCATGAGGAAGTTGTGTACGAAGTAGCTTTCATCCGCGGTACCCGTCTCCTCGTCACTGGCTCAGCCGACAAGAGTCTTCGGGTGTGGGATTTGGACACGGGGAAACAGGTGGGAAAGCCCTTGTTGGGTCACGATGCCGGAGTCTGGGCGGTCTCAGCGTCCCTTGATGGACGTTGGATTGTGAGTGGAGGAGGGAATGGAAGCATTCTGGTCTGGGAAGTTGCGACAAACAAGAGAGAGCTCAAAAGAGTGCCCGTCTCATTTAAGGGCCATGAGAGTCTGGTTCAGGGTATCGCATTTGCAACAGACAGCGAGACATTTGCAAGTGCATCACTGGATGAAACTATATGCGTGTGGAAGAGAGAGACGGGCAAAATACTCCTTGGACCACTCCAAGTAGGCAGCTGGGCAAACTCGGTGTCGTACTCCCCGAATGGGGCAAAACTAGCGGCAGGCACACAGAAGCACATCATTATTTGGAATACAGAAACCGGAGAAGAGCTGCTCAAAATAGAACAGCGGGCATGGCGAGTCGCATTCACTTCAGATGGTCTCTATCTCCGAGTCGTTAGTGGACACTGGAATGACATCCGAATATTAAATGCTACCACTGGAGACATCATCAAGCAGTTTGACGTCCACATCGACAACTTCTTTTACTCACTAGCCATTACTCCCAATGGCACCAAATTCGCAACCATTTCACTCGACAACAAGACGCGGTTCTTTGACATGGACACATTCGAACCCATCGGCAAGCCACTCGAGCACCCTGATACCGTTTCGTGTGTAGTATTTTCCGAGGACAGCCAGCTCATCGCTACTGGCTGTTACGACGGACATGTTCGTACATGGACAGTTCCTTTGAGCGAGTCAGAAAAGGAATTTCAACAGGTGAGCAAATTTTCTCGTTGTATCATGCTTCGCGCTCGTTGTTTTGTACAATCCCTAATTTTAGTCCTGCAGAAACCCATCCCAGACCCACGGCCTCGCCCACAACGCGCTCCAATACCGACCAGTAGATTCTTCGATGATGTAAGTCCATATGATAGAGTAGATTAAATTTGATGCACGTCTCACTATCCTTTGACAGTTTGATCCACATTTTCCGATTGGACGTAACAATCGCGCTGGCACTACGCGCAACGCTGAAGGCTCCAAAATTAAAAGCATGATAGATCGTATCTTTTCTCGCTCCTCCGCTCCCCAGGACCAAACTCCTCGCCCATGCGGGGTCCCCCTTGTGGACGTCTTTGCAACACGAGGCAAATATGTAAGCTTTCCTGACTTTTTGACATCTATTCAGTGACGTTGATATTGTCTCGCAGCGCACCGCTAATGCCCACAGTGGAAAACGGGATAAGTTGTTGCAGCTACAACGTCCTCCTCGCCGGCAAGCCCACGTCGGTGGCTCGCATAGCAGCACGCCACCAACAGCATCCAATGTGGTCAATGAAACTGCGCCAGCAACGTTGCAGACCGGAAGTGCCAATGCTTCTGCCACGACTAACCACCCGTCTCCGTTGGACATTGAACATGCTCCAGACATCGGCTGCTTTGCTGTTCTTGCAAGGTGCTTCCTGTGTCTTTCACGAACTCGACCGATAAGTCCTGCTGCTCCGCGCACCAACTAAGTGGCCTTTCCCTACCGATCATTTTTACTGGAGAAGATATCACCCACGTACTAAGTGAAGATACGTATGTGATTTGATGTTGCTCCCAGAAGACATTGTTCAATATCTGACTAGTATTTCGTCCCCATGGTGTCACATCACGAGCATGATTGACCTAGTGTACCGCAATGACCGGGGCATACAAGAAACATGGTGTAGCGAGTCGTTTTTATTGAAATGCATTGGTTGCCAATGTAGGAACGCTGGCCCTCAGATTGGGGCAGGTACGAAACCTGACTTGAAGGACTTGGTCAGGATCATCTCCGCATTGAACTTCCGTCCTGCGACCAATGACAGGCAGGTGCGACTGAGGGATGAGGACATGGAAACCCCTACGGAGGAACGAGGTTCTTCTGGAGGGTGTTCCCTCCCGACCAAGGTTCTCGTAGAGGTTCTAGATGAGCACCGGGATGCCCGGGGCGAGGAAGTCGATATTATTATGAAGGCGTTCGGGAGCAGTGACACCATTCTGTAGCGCCCCTTCGTAGAACACGTTCGAGGGAATTCAGACGAACAAGGGTGCAAGCAGACGGATGAATCTGTTGCCAAGTACGACCAACTGTTCGAAGAATGACTGTTTCAAATGAGCATTGAAATATTGACACCCCATCCGGAAATTTGACGCGCCGATGACGCCGAGCTTCTTCATGCAAGTTACGTTTGAAGTGTATTCGGTCGCCTGCCAGCAGCTTGTCTCAGCATCATTCGACACAACAGTCAAATCCTGGGATCCATATAATGGAGACCAGATTGGGCAACATTGCACCACTGATTCATGCGACTGGATCCTCTCGCTCGTCGTCTCTTTCAATGGCTCCGAGCCTTCGAATTCATTACTATCGGACGACCAGACTGTGACTGCCATGGAGCGCAAAAACACACCAGCAAATTGAACACGCGCTTGGACGATATTCGTCACTGCTCTCCAAAAAGTTGGACAATGCTCCCGACGTAGGAATCCGTATACAAAGTAAGCCCCAAAATGACTCATCCGACAACATGAAGATAATTAACTCGTTTTCCAGATCTGCGTCAGCATTATATGATGCCATTCGACGAGTCGTTCATACTCGCCTGATTCAACACATCTACTGGGCGTTTATCGACGCGCATATCACAGAGTACATGGAGATCTTATCCACCACTGAAACATAAATTTTACGATCAACTCTTATACTCACCTTATAAAATGTCTAACTCCTACGATTAGTAAAATCATGGCATGTCAGTTTATAAACTCATGTATAGCATTATATACTTAAGTCCCGTGGCCAATGACTAGGATAATGAGGGTGATTTAGTTTTCTTTTCGTTCATATTGAAACTAGTGACTTATGTCTGTGCAATATCATTTTGGCTGTAGATCCGTCAAGCTACAACTTGGCCATAGGTATCTTCAATATGACATAATTATGGTATAACGTCTAAAAGTTATGACTCACCAGTAAGTGGCATCCTGCTGCAAATCTGTAATTTTGATTTCATATGTCATTCGTTGGAGCAGCGGATATCATTTGGCAGCAGCTAGACCCACCTGCTCTATTCATGCAGAATTTTTGATAATAGATACTACATTATCATCAGGTAACCGACCCGAAAAAGATAAATTCTTAGCAAGCTTTATCTAATCCAAAATCTGCATAATATCTATCAGAATTATACCCCACATGACAAAGCTTTGAATACCCGGACTTAGTTGGACAGAACCCGCCGAGTGTACAATTGTGAGTCTAGTTGCAATCACCTACCAGCCTATTGCCGAGATGATACATGTTGCAACACCCACCCACCATTGCAAAGCAAGATTAAGTTGTCGAGAGCGACCACCGTCGCCTTTTTGAGGACCAGCAACAATGACACTACAACTCTGCCCTTCACCAGTGATGGTATGTAGCTTTTGATTGTTTTTATTTTCTCCATAATCTCTCAACAAATTTCAGTGTTAGACAAAGTTTTAGATGGCCGGACTGTGTTGGACCAACACTGCCGACGGCCCATGGGCGGTGAGCGTCTACAATGTATTGCCAAGCTCCCTCGATTCAGCTTGTAATTGCACCCCCAGCAAAATCTCTCTCGTCGCTGATGTTAGATATGTAGTTGTAATGCTAGTCTGTGTTGCTCAGATCTACTAACTACACAATTCAGGCAATGAGTAGTGATGCGTTGACATTCTACCAAATTTCGATAAGAATTTATATTGTCATATTATGCTCCGCATACTCTCTCTAAATGCTGGAGCCTTCCAAGGCCAGATTGCTTTGGTTGGGGGTTACTTTTGTCCCACAATGCGGAGGCTTGACAACGGTGTAGTGCCTTCATCAGCTGATTGCTGAGGTATAGTCCTCCCATGTAACGTGAGAGAACCAATGTGCTTTCTGCAAACTCTCCCAGGATGACGTCGCCAGATAGAGTCATTGAACCAAAGGCTGCGTTGTGCCAAAGGCGCCAGGACGCTGATACCAGTAACCATCAGCATGCAGCCAAAATATAGCTATAGCATGCAATCTTGGCTTTCTCAGATCTTATCCTGCAGAGCGTGCTTGAATACTGCAAAGAAGACAGATGCGGCATGCAATGGCAATGGCTACTATTTTCCAGCAGTATTACATATTCGTTCTCATCCGATCGCTTCGATGGTTTACAGAGGCCACAGCAGGTCATCATTGGGTAACATCGTACTAAGATTGTATACATGTAGACTACAAAGGGACATTTGTAGCCTGTTTGAGGGCAACACACTTTTGTCGGATCTTGAATAAGGCGCTGTTGACACTGATAGCCCTCTTGGCAGCAAAGGAGGTAGGAAAAACTTGACTGAGAAATGTATTAGCATTGTAACTACATAGTGAAGGGTGATAGAAATACCGATTCCACCAGGTCAACAGCTCATCAACTTCCTTGAATTCCTCAGGGTCTTCTAACAGATCGAGGAAACTATGATAAAACATTTCTGAGTCTGTTGTTGTGTCGGTCCGTGAAAACACTGAGGATGAGCTCAAAGCGAATCACACCTTCAGCTGTACATTAGAAACTCTCCGTTGCAAAAGGATACTTCACAAACCTGAGTTGCGATGTATGCAATAGAAGCGATGGTGACGGATTTCATCCCGTGGAGACGAGCGTTTCCGGATCGTGTAGCTTTCGGCTCTCTGTCAACTGAACTCGGAGAGGTGAAAACATGCTTGTAGGCCTGATAGAATACCATACAGTGAATGGACTCTATGAATACAAGTGCATACTCACACATACTAGTAAGCGGCTTCTGAGAAGGCCGCACCACAGGTCTTCAGGGTCATAAATGTGGTGGGCGTACAAGAAAATGGGCCATTGATCCCCACAGACCAGTATTTCACCACTTCGCAAATTCTCCTTCGTCCTGTTTACAAAGAGCAAAAGGAATCAGATTTTTGATGTTAGCTCAAACTGAAACATACTGAGGGTTGTTCCAGTCCAGCCCAGCAGGACAGAGGAGAGATCCAGTAAGTGGATGGTTGAAACCGCGGTCAATTTTGGAGTTACAATGTAAAGGAGGCTGTATTGCTTCACCCTTCGGGGTCACCCAATCGAGTACTGCAGACTTTAGTGTTTTTGTGTCGTCGCCTCTGGCACCCGCCGCTCTCCTACCAATCTGTAAATCATAAGTAAGAACTGCATGGACAGATAAAAGTGTACCAGCTCTCCAATGTGAATGATTTCCTCCTCAGACCCATCCTTCAGTCACTCCAGAAGGCCGGGATAGGAGTCCAACAGCTGCTCAAAGACGCGATGTTCCCGCCGCTCTCTGCCAAGCACATCAGCAAACAAGTAAGTGGGAGAGATGAACGTCCTTGACTCAGCAGAGAAATCCTCTAATGGGGTGTCTTCCATTTGCTCCAATCTCAGGATACCATTGGTGAGCAAGGAAGGATAATTACAAAGCGTGAATACCGTTCGACCAAAGTGGCGTCCATGGGAGACAAGCGGATCAGACGAGGAGCTGAGAGGTAAAATGAGTCTACAAAACCTGTGGTTAACATAGGAACATCTTATGCCTTTTTTCGAGGCCCCATTTGAAGAGCTGATGAGCCACATTTGCTCGGAATGCTGGGGGTGGCCTCCTGGGTAGCTATGATAGTTGGGGAGGAAGAATAGACAACCCAGGCTTCACCGGTACTGAATGTAGCTTTTATCCCTTGCGCTACGTGATGTTTGGGGGAAACTGGCGCTGAGAGGCCACCGTAAATGGCAGCAATGGCCCAGAGAAGAATTGGCCAAGGTGGCCAGGGTGAATCTGGCCCAGCCCATTGACGGTGTGCCGTGATGTATCAACCTTATACTAAGATGGTCAGCCTGAAAACCAATAGCTAAGCAAAAGCGTGGCTGGTATAGGGCTCTTTCGAACTTACACCTCGTTGCATCTCACAACTAGAAAGCAGCATCCGCCATGCCCACTATACTGCAGCCCTGACGTCAAACCTATGACATCCGAGGGGGACTGGCGGAAAGTGGACGCTTGGCCCAGAAAAAAAATGGCCGAGATGGCCAGGATGGTTCTGGCCCAACCCGTTGATTGTGTACCTTGATGTATCAACCTTGTGCCAAGATGGTTAGCCTGAAATCTCATAAGTAAAAGCACGGCAGGAATATAACACCCTTGAACTTGCATCCAGTATTCTGCAACTACAACAAGACAGCACATCCGCACAGCCCAATATGCCACAGCTCTGGCGTCAGACCACACTGCAAAGACATATTATCAACTTGAACCTTCGGTAAATCTGATGCGCCTACCTGGCGGCAGTATGTGCTGATGCCTTTGCCTAGGATAGAATTGGTGGACAACACTAATGAAAGCGGCGAGGAAATTGCCAGCGTAAAGGGTGCCAACACTATCAACAATTCTCAGAGCCCACCGAAGACTAGCAAGGCAAACTTTGATGACAACGGCCCCTCAGTACGGAATGATGAGGCTCCGCCTCTGGCAGTGAGAGAATATGAAAATGGCGAGGTGGACTCCATGGTGGAGCTCAAAGAGGGACTGCAGCTTGCGGAGAAGAACTGCTTGAGGTTGGAAGAGCTGCGTCAAAAGTACAGACTTCGTTGGTTGGAGGAAAATTATCGAGCAAGAGTATTGGAAGAATACGCACCAAATGGAATTGACACCTGCCCTCCCCACCAGATTGCATGGGATGCTCCCTCTCCTGCTCAAAGTACGCTGGATGCGCGTTCCCTTGAAATTAACTGACTGCACTGCCCAGGTGAATACAACCTCGAAGTTGAGGACGAAAGGTAAATACAGAAGGCATATCGCAGTGTTCAAGTTGTGCTGCTGCACAAAATTGTGGTTTATAGGATCAGAGGATGCGGGAACACCGGTGGAATATTTAGATGTGAGAAATGACGCAAGCATTTCTCTTTGGGTCAGCACTTGGCCAGGTCCCAGGATGGTACTTTCAGCCTGTATAGCCAAAGGATCACATGATTATGTATCGGCTGATAAGACAATTGAAGTATCGTTGCACTTGCACTTAGAATTCAATATTCAATATTTAAGGTGCAGGTAAGCTACCCATCCCAGCATGCTGATGACGTAAAGGGCTAACCGCGTTGCAATCGAGGCCGGCGTGCCCTGCTCGAAACCTTCCTGTAGGTATAACACTTGTACGTGTCCAGTTTAACCTATTGTCAAGCAGTCCGTAATGTGGTATCTCCTTACAGGTTCTGATGTTGTCTTCTTCTCCACTCCTCCTTTCCATGGTAGGATTCCCAAACATTCAACTTTTATTGATGCTTACTAGCTACCTTCTAGGAACCCTAACTCGCTATCACTTGCACCCTGCTGAGTGGCTACACCGTTTGCCTGATTCCCTTTTTTTTGAAGAAGGTTCTCTTTGCGAGCCTCTGGCTGTAGCTCTCGCAGGCATCGAGCGTGTTGGTCTCCGCCTTGGTGACCCCACTTTGATCTGGTGTGTTCGCATTAGGAATTTCATGTTATGATATATAATTGATTGACATTTGGACCGATTGGTCTTGTTTCTCCTCTTTCGGCACGTGCTGCAGGCGCCGAGCCCAAAGTTGTAATCTGATCTGTTCCAGAACCGCCTCGACTTTGCAAAGAAGCTCGTTCCTGGTGTGTGTATGGTACTGATCGAGTGTGATTTGACGCCAAAGGACGCGACCCAAAAGATCAAAGCTGCCGCTAATGGCCCTGAGGTTGTGATTGAGTGCAGCAGTGTGAAGAGCAGTGTGCATACTGCAGTACATGTAAGAAATGCTGGAGTCGTCTATGCCGTCAAGAGTCTCCGCTTATGCTGCATGGTACCCAGGTAACACAATTTGGTGGAAAGGTGTTCATCATTGGCGTCGGCAAGAATGAACAAGTGGTATGTAAAAGCCCAAAATTTTGTCACACTCAATTTGCCATACTTTCAGTTCCCATTCATGCACCTGAGTGCCAATGAGATAGATGTTAGTTTCCAATACAGATATGCTAACCAGGTACATATGCTCCCTTCTGCAAGAATTTCGATATGCTCACCATATGTGATCAGTACCCTAAAGCTATACACCTTGTCGCTGGCGGTCTGATCAACTTGAAGCCTCTGAGGGGCCGGCGCCGCCCCCACCTGGTTAGGCATCGATTTAAACTGAAGGATGCTGTCTCTGCCTTCCGTGTCACTGCAGACCCTTCTCAAGGTGCGATCAAGGTGCAAATTCAAGACTAGAACATGGCGGCTAGTGGTAAATGTAGAAGCTTTTGCATTGACAGCACGACCCTAAGTACTTTATTGCACTCACAAGTCACTGTCTAGTACTGTCAAGGTGTCAAGTCTCTATGTGTTTGATGCTTTAGCACATGCTGCCTGAAGTTATGCCACAAAGCGTGGTATCACCGGTGACACGAATTTGAGCACTGGAAACGCTGCCACCTTCCTATTCAAAAGTTGAAGGTGTTTTAGATGGTCTGTTCCAGGACATGACTGCGCTTGATAACGGAAGCGAAGGTAAGAGACGAGTAGATCCACTTCACAGACACAGGTCAGGTGTACTATGTCTGGGACATCCATGTCGTCAGTGACTTGTACTCCAAGCAACGTGATTGCATAGCCTGATGTTGCTGTAAATGTGCCCTCAACTGACTGGCTCATATCTTCGAGTACCGATGCTGCCACAAACATATATTATTTTGCTGTTCTCTCCTTCGATGTTACAACACGGCCGGCTTACATCAGGAAAAAAAACAAAGTTTGCCATAACTTTTGAATTCGGAGTTTTGCGGCGCCCGTGATGTGTAAGCTAGTCTTGGTTGCATCATGCACTTTTCAGAAGTGCCGTGTTTCAAATTTCAAGCCTCGAGTCGTCCAAGATCTTTACTGGTGAGTTGCCCGTTCTCAGAATGGCATGTACTCAGTGCAATAACAGTGATCACGGGAGCTTTCTAAGCATGCCCTGAGGGCAACGTGATAGCCTTGCAGCTTTTTTCTATAAACCCTCGCGTTTATCTTATGCTTTGCAGAGCTGAAATTTGACAACCTCTCTCCGAGTATTTGTTGTACAGTGCTGATACTATGGTGATATTTGCTCTCTGATTGGGTTCGTGCTCTCTTTTTATCTCTGGTTTTATCTTCAATTCAAACACTTGGCCATGATAGGTATTATCCAGCGCTCGTATTAAAAATGTGTGTTCAAAATGTATTCTAGCCGCAAAAAATCACGCACACTTCGTCAAGAACCCATATTCACAGTTCCGTAATGGATGGACGGTTGAACAGGTCCTACAAGCACCTAAGATTACTGCTCAACTCACGAAGTTCATGTGCAGTCCTACATCGGTAACGGTCCTCCCGTTCTCAAGTACTCAATACTCACCATGCATCAGGATGGTGCAGCCTGCTGTATCATTGCATCAGAAGACTTTGTACATGCCCATGGATTGGAGAATCAAGCCATTGAAATAGTTGCGCAAGGCCTTGAGACGGACGACCCTGCTGTGTATGATACTAAAAGCGCTATGGAGGTTGCCGGCTACAGGATGTCGAAGCAATGTGCTGACAATGTATTTAAAGACACTGGCTTTGCTGATGGTGAAGGACGCGACTTGGTTGGCGTGGTTGAGCTGCATGACTGTTTTTCCGCAAACGAAGTAAGTACGCCTTTCCTCACATAGTCTGGCGCATGACCCTCCCTTAGCTCATTACATATCCTGCCCTTGGACTTTGTGCCCCTGATGAGGCCCATAAGATGGTCGAAAGAGATGACAATACGGTCAGAGTTTTCTTTTTCAGTTGGGAAGTAACTGAACATTCTGTAGTATGGCAGCAAGTATGTTGTAAACCCAAGCGGCGGTCTTGAAGCCAAAGGACATGCACTCGGGGCTACTGATCTGGGTATGCATTTTTATATAACAAGTGAGCATTCTATTAAGTTGGCGATATTGTTCTCATCACATTGGCAGTGCAATTGCGTAATTGTTAGTGTGGCAATCAATCTGTTTGCTTTTCGTCGTATTCCTAATGCAATTGATGTGTAGTGGCATGCAAGCACCTGGCTTATTCGACATCCCGGACAAACGGGGAAAATTCGGTCTTGTTCACAATATTGGTATTGGGGGTGCAGTGGTCGTTAGTCTACTCCGCAGGCCTGAGTTTTACAAAGCAGGGGGTATTGACGGCCAGGCTAGGTAAGCATACCCTTATTTTTAACATAGTCCACTAACCTGCGATATACCAGACTGGGATACAATCACGCTTATGAATGCCGGCCTGTTACGCTTGCAGATATCGACAAAGTTAAGTCGAAGAAATCATCGAAGTTTGTTCTTCAGCATGCAAAACTTTGAAAAGCCTATGAAATATTTTCTACGCGACCCCGGTCCTCGCGACCTCTTCATTCCTAGTTTTATTTTGTCTCACTTTTTATACTTATCTTGTGCTTTCTCTTTAGGTCTTTACTGCTTGTCTTCTGGCATTCTATCCAGTACAACGTCGACGGTGCACATCACCTGTATCATATACTACATCTCCATCACATCATTGCACTGACACAATTTGTACTTTGCATGCGAATCAGGCTCATGAAAATTCATTTGAGCTTGAGCACTATCAACGGGTGCACCTGTATCGCACTCAACGATGGCAGCTACATGGCTCGTTGGTCCAGACATATCGCTCGACTGGGATCTTGCCCAAGATATCGAGTCCACTGGAAATGGCTTCTGATCCCATTCTCGCGTGTCGTCCACTGATACACTGGAATCCTCGGAATCTGTCGATCACATTGACATTTTTTTTTTTGCTTCAGCAGCCAAAATTCCGAATATGTTGAGTGGAGTAGGTGTTACATTGTGTATTGTACATTCGTCCGATGTGCGCAGCCGCTTAACTCATCCCTAGTCTCTTAGAACTTCCCTCTTCATGCGTATGGTCTAAAATACTCGTAAGTCCGTTCGGAATTTCATGTTTTGAACTGGCTTACCTGGCAGCGCTAACGCGCACCTCTAAGTCCCAGAAGGTATTCTAATTCTCGCATCTCCATCTCGAAAATTCGGCGCTCCCTAGCAATCCAGAGCACCAGCATCGCGCGCATTTCTTCTGACCAGTGCAGAGGCTGAGGATGGGGCTGAATTGGCAAGTCGGGGTGATACAGTTGTTGGCGCACACGGAGTCGTGCGCCGGCCCATGTAACGTACATAAGTTCCTTCAAGAATGTTAAAATCTTACTTTTTGAATGAGTCGTTACTCACGTGTTGTCCTTCCGTCAGCGTGAACTGCACATTGCGAGGCCTTGGTATGATTTGCAAATCGCGTTCAGGAATCTGTTGAGAGTCGGTGAGCAATAATTGTCAGAAAATATTCAACATACCTGGTGATCGCGGTTCCCATTTTGATTGCCATCTCCTCCATTTTGATTACCGTCTCCTCCATTATCATTAGCGTTATTGTTCATGCTAGTAGTAGAGTAGTAAATATAAAATTGAATCTATAGTGAATATGCTTACTTTCGTTGCTTTGACTTCTCGCGTCTAAGAGCCTGTCCCGATTTGGATGAAAGTATATCTCCGGCATTTTCCGGAATGGCGCTACATGACACATCTTGATAAATGGTATGTTTATTAAACGATCATAGTCATAAGGCCACATGATCATATCCTGAGCGTACTGGAAGTATCTGCGCCACAATTCCAAAACTCTAACCAGGGTCTGTATCCCGGCGTCTTTGGTAAAAAATGCACGTGTGATGTTCAAATATTTCCTGAAAAACAATGAATGTTGCTAATAAAAGCGAAACACACAGATTCGGTGCCTGGCGGATGATCAGTTGCAGGACGTTAATTGCTGTTAGAACTTGAGGAGTCTGCTTGGTCTGTTTTCTGTCAATGTATGTTTCTCTGACTTAGGTACAATATCTGTGCGACATTATCTATGTATTGTATGTATTGTACTCATTGTCAAATGTCGCGTCGAGGTGTTGATGACATCATGCCAAGATTCGTCACATGTTGTTTGTTGTATATTGACAAACTGTTTGCTACCAATTGATCTATCGTCATTTCTTGAACTTCGAAGTTGCAACGTTGAACGTTGAAACATTGAAGCTTGAAATCGGGGACTAGCGCTTCCCAGCGCTGCTACGATTGAGTATAGCAAATTGAGAAATTGAGATACCAGCCTAATTTTTTGAAGTATCCTCAAAGCCGGTCACGACACATCATTCTATTGAAGCCACACTACTTTACACGGTCGATACAATAATCGGTACAAAGATAGAATAAGTCATGGCGGCCAGTGCCCTCACAAGGGCTAAATATAAATAAATGCAGTTTCGCGCAGAAAGAATAATCCAGACAATTGGCACTACCAAACTTTCCAGCCATCGTCATCGTCAATGTTCTCGTCATGATGACTCACATTCCTGGGAAGTATATGTCGTGGGATGATTTGATCCCAGGATGTTTGTGAACCTGCAATATCATCAGTGGTGGAGGATGGTACAACCTGTTTTTGCTCACTATGGTCACAGTTAAATGCGTGTGTATTTTCAATAGCTAATGTATATAGCTCTATCTCAGCGTGGGCGCGATGCCTCTTGGCTTGCAGGATGAGTAGATCCAGCCCAAGATTGCGTAAATAGGCGTTGCTACGCCTCGCAACAAGAGATTTCGTCATCAGGTCTGACTGCATGTCCAGCTCAGTTTGGAATGCCTTGAAAAAGGTATCTTGGACGTCAGCGGTGATCCATGTACTGAGCAGGAGTGATGGAGGGCCAATATGCTATAGAGACAGACAGTTGAGCATGGCTTAACAGAAAAATACATTACTGATGTGCAAGTTATTGGACATCGTTCGTCTGTCCCACGCGGCGGGAGGCAGACCGAGAACCGAAGGGGTGGAGCCTTCCAAAGGTGAGGAATTTCTGATTGAAGGCTCCGCAGCTGGTTCGAGGTGCGCGCTGTTTCTCGTTAGCCAAGCTTTATACATCTCTTGTGTAGCAATCCAGCAGGCCAAAGGTGCGCAGGGTAATGGTGCGCAGGGTAAATGTGCAGTTGCATGCTTCAAGGTTGCTGAGGGGGTCCTGATATTGTGCTTGGATAGAACTCCAATATATGCTACAGAAGGAGTATTCAGATCGTATCTCATCTGAAGATCAATTAAACTTATGCATGCGGAGTTGTTCCAAGTTTTCGATAGCCTGGGAGTACAAAGACACCTCCATTTGACACCGTTTCTTCCTCTCTTCCATGAGAAATCGCTCTACAATCACATGCCTTCCCTCATTCACACCCCCACAGGTGATCTGGTGTCGGCGTAAGCTTTCCTCCTGCTTCGCCTCTATACTGCGCTCCCCAATCAGTTCCCAAAGATCGCCAGTATAAACTCGATCTTTGAGCAAGTAGGCCAGAATGTATAGTTCAGTTTGGAGCTACGGAAAGAATAAAAATCAGTATATGCATATTATCATGATCAACTGACCTTCTGGTTTGCTATGAGTCCCACGTAGGCATCGATGAATTGAGTGCCCAATAAGTTAGATAGTTCAAAAGTGCTTGCATGGGCAGTGGAGTAGTCAAACAGCTCTGGTGAAAGACAGGCCGACATCATGCATGCTCCTGACTGCTGGTAGTAGGGAAGGTGTACAAGCAGGTGCGTGAATCAACACTGGCTTATTTATACTACTAGTAAGTGACGGGTGAGTGGATGGTGAGAATCTCGAAGAATCCTGGGAATCTTCAAGTAGCTATGTAGTACGTGCATGTAGTGTATGCTCCTACCTGTGAGAACAAATAATGATCTGGCCATCACGATTTGATTTGGTGGTACAAAAGGCGTCTAGCTGCCTCCAAGTGCTACTGGCCATACCTCATGCAGCATTTCGCCATCTTGAAGCAGCACTATCACTATTAATACTTAGGTAAAATAAAATAAATAAATATTTACTATGATTGTTGTTATTGTAAACAGTCCGATTTCAAGTTGTCAGGAACAAATCAAACACGTACGACCCAGGACCTGTTATATTAAACACACCAGCATCATTTCACGATCACACAAGTATTTGCATCCATCAAGTCAAGCAATAATATGACGATGACGGTCCTTCTGCACCCCTTTTGAATGGCAGACATGGCGGTTCCTGACTCCTACTCGCAAGCATTTCTTGCAGCGTTTAAACAAAGCGCTAAACTCCTTTTCCGTGATCCCATTGCCGTCAAAAGAGTCAAGTCTGGTCAACAATTCTGTTTGCTCCTTGCGATTCCACTTGAGTTTAACCGGTAAGACAACCCGCCGTTCTTTGTTCAGTTAATGAAGCTGTAGTATTTCAGTAAATTAAGCTCCTACCTCTTTGAGGGTACTGGAAGGTGGCTAGAGACGATAGCTGGAAGTGCATATCAATTTTCACTGTATTATGACCGTGAGTTTAGGATCTCCTTGAGCATGAAGAGTGCTAACCTTTGTATCCGCATCTATCTGATGCACATCTTGCAGTCCAGTCAATCCTACTTGCACTCATATCCCACCAAGGATACACCGCTGCCTCTACATACGCCCCTCTTCCACCACCGTCAGCACAGAGGCAGCATGGGTATTTAAATTCGTATCCATTTCGGTGCGTTTCTAGACTGGATGGCGGAATCTTATTTCCATCATGGTCGACTGGCCTGCATTATATGCAAGCAGCGTCATGGCCCAGAATTCGCACAGGATGCAAGCAACATCTTACCAACACCATTCGATCATGGATTCGGAGAAGCTGTCATAATGTAGGATGGCAAAACAGCAAGTCATAGCTTCTGCAATAAGTTTACCTAACCTCTGATAGGTTTCATGATGATTCAGAGGGGCAGTGATGATAGAGGAGGGCGAGGACGGGGCTTCCATTGATAAGTCAGTGCGGCAGAAATGTGCGTTCTATTGGGATTATATATGAGGCCACTACCACTACCTTGAACCGCGTCTGGCCTGGCCAGTCTTCCCTGCCGTCATTGTGTCCGCCAGGCCAGAAGTTTTGGGCTGTGTGAATATCGCGCTGTGATGGCGATTTTCGTAATCATGCTAGCCGTCTTTAGCGCCAATCAGTATAATAAATTCAGAATCAAATGCAGTCGTCCTTTCAACTTCTCATGGACCTGGACGATTCATCGCTGACTTTACCTCCTTTCAGATGTAGCTGTACACGCCAGTTCACGCAGGAGAGCACCTACACCAAACATCAATGTTCGTGCGCGAAGGGCAAGAAGCGGCTGTTTTCTGCTTTATCCAAAGCAAAAGACCTGTTAGGTTCTGCAAAACGGTCCAGAGTGGATGGCAGTGGCAGACCGTATGCGCGCCTTAGCAAGATGCAGCCCCTCCGTTCATGTGACCAATCTCCATCCGCTGGCCAGGTTATTGCAGAGCCTTCAAGCACCGGCTCAACCCTGTCGGCAATGTGCCCTGCAAAGGAGGTTTCGTGTGCAGGCCTTTGGTCGCAAGAAAATGCACCTGCCTCGGCATCCAAATCTGATCTTGGTGCCATGACTTTGGACAACAATGAGAACCTATCGCTGGCGCAGAGAAGGGGCAGGCGTGTTGACGTTCCCATGCCGCAACGTTATAGGCAGTATGAAGACGTACTTCCACAAGCCCCTCCAAGTGTTCCGTTCGATCATACCATCCCAGTGCCAGATCCCAACCTACCAGGAGATCACACTGACACATCCACTGGCACTAATACATTGCTTCGAGCCCCTCCCTTCCGTACAGTTCGCAATGTCTTTGGACTGGTACACCAGTTCTTCTCATCCGTCCCCCCACATCACGACCCCGAAGAGGCGGTGACACTCCACAATATCAGCTCCGTTCCAGCTTTCACCTCCGATTCCCCGGTCGCGGATGGTGCATTTTACCCTTATCCCAATAAATCTTCTTTCGAATTGGGCAACTGGTACTGGAATGGCGGCATGCAGAAGTCGCAGGAGGGTTTCAAGGAGCTGGTTGGTATTGTCGGACACCTGAATTTTGACCCTGATGACGTGCGGAGCACGCCATGGGATAGGATCAACTCAAAGTTGGGTGCGAGTGGTAATGACGAGGAGGATGAATGGGAGGATGAAAATGCTGGCTGGTGTAAAGCACTGGTGACCATCGAAGTACCCTTCTCTCGGACGACTGCCCAGCCAGGCGCTCGAACTTACGTGGCAGCGGAACTGTACTATAGGCCTCTCATTTCCGTCATTCGGGAAAAGCTCTCGAATCCTCAGGACAATGAGTTTTTTCACTATGAACCTTACCAACTCAAATGGAACGCCGCACATCTTCCCCACGAAGTTAACATTCACGGTGAATTGTATACTTCGCCAGCATTTATGGATGCGCACCGTGAACTCCAGGAGTCTCCTGGAGAGGCTGGATGTAAGTTACAGCGTGTGGTCGTTGCACTCATGTTTTGGTCAGATGCCACGCAGCTGACAACATTTGGCAACGCGAGGCTATGGCCAGTATATATGTACTTCGGGAATGAATCAAAATATCGCCGTTGTAGACCATCGTGCAATCTAGGTAATCATGTTGCCTACTTTCAAAAGGTACGTTGGTCCTTACGAATCCCACTCAGCATTAAAGTTCATGCATTTGCAGCTTTCGGATTCGTTTAAGGATTTTGCGGGCACCTACACTAACGGCAAAGGGGTTGGCCGTGACTGCACAACACATTGCCAGCACGAGTTATTCCAGGCTCAGTGGAATGTCTTACTCGACGATCAGTTTCTAGAGGCCTGCAAGCATGGAATTGTGATTCTGTGCTGCGATGGTGTCGAACGCAGGTTTTACCCACGAGTATTTACTTACTCTGCAGACTATCCTGAGAAGTGAGTCGTGGGTGTTATCTTTTAGAAGTTGAAGCTCATCAAAGGCAGGGTTCTTATTGCGACAATCCGGCAGATGGGAAGCTGTCCCTGCCCGCGATGTCTCATACCGACCACACGGCTTCAAAATCTTGGAATGAGCCGTGATAGGCAGCAACGTTTGACGCTGGTACGGTCCGATACATCGAGGAGTCATCTGGTGACCACTGCACGCAGCCTCATCTATGAGAAGAACCTTGGCATGGACAGTGCAGCCGTCGGGTCGCTACTCAAGCCAGACTCCTGGGTACCAACCTCGGTGAGCATGATCCATGTAATCAGTCTTACCTGCCGCCTTTACTCACTATTAATTAGAATGTTTTATCCGATGGCCTTAGTGCCTTTGGATTCAATTTGTTTGCCACACTCGTCGTCGACCTCTTGCACGAGGTCGAACTTGGGGTTTGGCGTATGCTTTTACTTCACCTGCTGAGAGTCCTTTTCGCCTTGAATAAGGACTTAATACACGAGCTTGATAAAAGGTGCAGCATATGTATTCGCTGAATGCCCAGTATACTCACCCTCACCTGACAGATATAGGCAGGTCCCCCCATTTGGACCCGCGACCATCAGACGATTTTCAGCGAACACCTCCGAAATGTCACATATGGCTGCACGGAATTTTGAGGATCTTTTACAGGTATGTCTTGGGATGATTCCCATAGATCCTTGTGTACTCACCTTTTACAAGTGCTCTATCCCAGTCTTCGAGGGCCTTCTCCCCGAACCACACAACAAGATCATTATCGATCTCCTGTTCATTCTGGCACACTGGCATGGACTTGCCAAGCTTCGCATGCACTCCGACCTGACCCTAGACATCCTCGACCAGCAAACAACTGAACTTGGTGAGCATCTTCGTCACTTTAAGGCGAAAATGTGCACTGCATACGCCACCCATGAACTTGATCGTGAAACCAATGCGAGGTCTCGTCGGCAAGCAAAAGAAGCCGCTAAATGCACGGAGAAAGGCAGGGTGAAAGGTAGTGGGGCTGCAGTTCCGGGGCCTATGGCAGGTGCCAGCCTTAAAGGGAAGCAGAAGGCAGCGCCAGAGCAATCACAGGATGCACCTTTACCAAGGCAGCCCAAGAAGAAGAAGTTGTTCAACCTTCGGACCTACAAGCTTCATGCGCTAGGGGATTATGTAGCCTCAATCCATCGCTTCGGTACCACAGATTCCTACAGCACGGAGCCAGTAAGTATCAACCCTCTCACTGCTCGGTTTCCAACTCAACTGCCATCAGGGGAGTTGGAACATCGTACACCGAAGGGCAGGTACCGTCGAACCGATCAAAAGACCTTCATTCACCAGCTGACGCAAATCGAGCGTCGTCAAGCAAGATTACGCCGCATCAAGCAACGGCAGTATAAAACAGGCTTCTCATACAGCATCTAATGAAACTGCGTGCGATCCCCAGCTCCATCATCACATCGGTCAAAGTGAGAAGGTCTTTGACGAAATTGGTCATTATCTCCGCAGTCCATGCGAGAGATCCTGCTATAAGGTAGTTGACTTGACTCTCTTGCGGATAGCCATCATCCTGACGTATGACATAGGACTTCCTGCCTCGATTGAAGGACCATATATTGATCGCCTTGACCCAGGGACTTCTGGGACTTCTGAATCTTTGTGCGAGAAACCCACCCGTTCTAACGCAGAATCTAGTTCAATTCTCTTCAAACGGAACAGAATCTACCATCATAATCTCGCCAAGTTCA